AATGTTTACTGAGAACTAGAGTAAGTTTGTTTTTTAAAATGCTTCTTATATATCTAAACCAGCTAAAAAAGGAAACATTTGCTTTTAAGACACAAATATCTATTTTTGACAGGGGATAATAACCTGAAATTGATCAACTTGATTCCCCCCTCCTCCACTATTAGCAAATAGACTTTTTGTAATTGCAGAAAATAATTTAAATCAATTTCAATGTTGATTAGTGTGGGTTGGCAAAAATATCAGCAATTAGCCATTTGAATTGAAGAATCCATATCTTCCCAATTAAACTTCGTAATGATCTGTCTAAACTATTGAGATAATTATTCAGTTTTATTATGTAACAACAAAACCTATTTTAAAAATGGATTATCAGGAAGACTAATGCTTCTTTAAAGTGCATGGATCATAAAGGGTTAAAACCAAACCAACACCTCCCATGGAAGGTTTTGCATTTGAAAGCCTTACTGGTTAGGCAGAGGTTAGTATTTGACTAACCAGGGCATTTGGAATGATGCAGAACCAGGAAACACAGGGAAAAAAACTCCATCCTGATTTTAACCTTTGTGTGAGGACCCCTCCTCCCTCTTCCATTAAAATGATTTAAAAATCCAGAGAAAGTGCAAAACCCAGCAGAGAGGAACGGAAATCTGGGGGTTACCTGATGATGGCCTGAGGAAAGATGGGTTACTCAGAGAATAAGTCCATCATGCATTCATGGACAAGATAAGGTGATGGTGAGAGATGAAACCAGATGTCCGTAAGAAAACAGTTGCGGGGAGTAGTTAATATTACAGTCCAGGAACAGAGGACCCTAGGACCATCAAGGGAGAAGAGCAAGAGTAGAATGTGGGACCTTATCCAGAGAAGCAGCGACACCAGAGATGGAGGCAGAGATGGGGACATGGAGAGAGGGAGCAGCTGAGGACTCTGGACTCATGGAAAGAGAAAGGCTGTGCACTGGCAGCCAGGAGGCAGGCTTGCAGAATGTGCCCTTTGGTTGTTTAAATGATTATATATTCTTGTTTTTGTAATCATTGCAATGAAACAATGAGTGTAAAACCGATGCTATCCCATGTAAACTATCACTCAATTCACAATAAAAACTTAAAAAAAAAAAAAAAGGAAGGAAGGAAGAAGACAGTTGATGTTAAGTGCTGTCTAATCAGTTCCGACTAATAATGACCCTTGTATAGGGTTTCCAAGGAGCAATTGGTGTGTTTGAACTGCCTACCTTCCAGTCTAGCGCTAATCCTACAGTGCCATGTTCCTAAATTCGTGATGACCCACTTCGCCTGAGAGCATTCTAGTTTCGAAACTATATAGAGAAATATTAGGATAAAAATTGCTCTCATTTAAGATTTTTTATTACATGATTATATTATCGAAGTATGTCGTTAAGTGCCGCTGAGTCAGTTCCAACTCATAGCAACTCTGTATAGGGCTTCAGAGGAGTGGTTGGCGGGTTTGAACTACCAGACTTGCAGTTAGCAGTCCGGTGCTTATCCCACAGTACCACTAGGACTCCCTATAGAATCATAGACTTTAAAAAGTTGTTGTCTCCTGATGTTTCACGCCAACCCACACACTTTTACAGATGAGTAGACTGCCTCTCACAGCAGCTGAGAGAGCTGATGCCAGGTTTGAAGGTGACCAGAAAGGGAAATAAATAGCCTTCAGGAGCCAGTCGGTCTCAAAGGGTAGTTTTGTGTGTGTGTGTTTTGACACATTTATTGTCAGTTTTCCTGGGTCAGGTGTCTGGATATGACTTCGAAAGCTCCTCCGCTCAGTCGCCAAGGCTGAATCATGGCGTTACTTAGTGCCCCGAGCTCATTGGAGGTTTGTGGTCTTCTAAATGTCTGGGCAGTTGGCATAATTCATTTCCTTGTAGTCTTAAGACTGAGGTCCCCCATTTTTTTTCTTCTGGGTTTTTCTTTTTCTTCGCATTAAAATTGTGTGTGTGGTAAAATTATATAACAGGAGGGTTTCAAAAGTTTATGCAAAGATTTTATTATCTTGTAATGCCATTTTTTTCATGAACTGTTTTTGAAACCCCCAACTATAATAAGGATTCTAGGGGTGGCGCTGTAGGAGAATCACTGGACTGTGAACCACAAGATCGGCAGTTCAAACCCACCAGCCTCTCCTCTGAAATCCTATACAGGGTCCCTATGAGTCAGAACCGACTCAACAGCACTTAACAACGATAACAACAACAGCAACAACAACGTGATAGCAAGCCCAGACCAGATAATTTTGAGGGCCTTATACAGCCCGAGGGCTGGACATTGCCCACGTTTGCTTTAAACAATCAAGAACTCCCTTCCCCTCCAGTCCCGGTACCTGCTAATAAACTTTGGTGTCTATGTGTTTACCTATTTTAGATCTTTCATATAAGTGAGATCATATAATAGTTGCCCTTTTGTGACTAACTTACTTCAGTCTCATGTTTTCAAGGTTCATCCATGTGTTGGATTTCATCTTCTTTCATCACTGAATGATACTCTGTACGAGACAAGGGGCTTTATTAAGTTTATGGAACAATCCCATTATCTTTTCATTCCATTTTCCTACACACTTTTTGAGTGTCTTCCTCATGTGTGTATGGAGTCCCTGGGGTGTGCTGAGGAGCCTTAGTGGTGGTGCACTGGGGTAAGCATTGGACAACCGATTGAAATGGTGGTGGTTTGAACCCACCAGCTGCTCAGCACGAGAAAGATTGCTTCTTCATTATAGCCAAAGTGCCCATCACCAGAAGAATGATTAAACAAGCTTTGGTACGCACACACACGATGGAGTACTACACAACACTGAAGAATAATGATGAATCTGTGAAACCCCTCACAACATGGTAGACCGTGGAGGACATCATGCTGAATCAGCCACCAAAGGGCAAACATTGTTAGGAGACCAATGTTGTAAAAGTAGAGGGGGGAAAAAAAAGGTGTTCTTGATGGGATGACAGGAAACTATTCATGGGCTAGAGGTAGACGCATGTTAACACAGGTGACAGGACAGGCAATATACAACGAGAGGGAGATTAGCAGAGGAGAGATGAAGGTAGCAGGAGACAGGGAGGAATGCAGGGGTTAAAGTGAGTAGAGGAGGTCCATGCTGTTAACTGTTGGTACATGGAGGGGGTTGCAGTCAGTGTAGTGAAGCCAAGTGTATGACTTGTTGGATGTAAAACTGATGATCTGCTCTGTCAGCCTTCCTCAAGTCACGATAAAAAGCTTAAAAATAAAAAGAAGTACGGCCTCGGAAATGTACTGGAGCAGTCCTGTTGGTGCTATAGGGCACCTAGGAGTCAGAGCTCACTTGGTGGCAGTAGGGTTGCTTTGGGGGCTTCAGGGGTGCAGTTTGTGGTCACACTGCTGATCAAAACGCTGCAGGACTGAGTCGACCCCGATGCTCCTTGGGAAAAAGGCTTGGTGCTCTACTTCTGAGAACTCAAGACAATGAAAGTGAGTTCTGCTCTGACGCACGGTCTCCCTGAGTTGAAATCAGCTCAGCGGAAGCGGTTTGGTTTCTTTTCAGCCGCTCCGATCTCATGGGATCTACTTAGGGGGCTTCAGAAAGTTCATGGAAAAAAGCAGTTGAATGAGATTGGAGTTTTTCCATCCACTTTTTGAAGCCCTGTCTCTAATATTGTGTCAGCCTGTCAGGATAGCAGAATGGAGGCCTTTGCATGTGTGGGGGTGATTCTGCACAACACTTCCTCTGTTGTTTCACACCCCTATCCTGGTTAACTCCTGTTGTTATTAAGTGCCATCCGTTGGTTCCGACTCATAGCCACCCTCCATATGGTTTCCGAGGAGCGGCTGGCAGATTTGAACCTCTGACCTTTCAGTTAGCAGTCCAGTGCTGATCTACAGTGCCACAAAAGGACTCCATATCTCCAAATCCCGTTCTTTTGTTTAACAGATTGGAGAAACCCCTGGGAAATGGTGTAGGCAGACCCCCTCCCCATCTTTTCTTATTTTTGTTGCTATTGTAGTTGGGAGTTTGTTAAAAATACCCTTTCTAGCTCTGTGATGTTGGTAGTGGTGGTGGTGATACGCCGTGGAATCAGTTCTGACTCATAGCGACCCTGCATAGGGTTTCCGAGGCTGTAAATCTTTATGGAGCCGAAAGCCTCATCTTTCTCCCGCGGAACTGCTGGTAGTTTCGAACTGCTAACCATGAGGTTAGCAGCCTGACTCGTAACCACTATACTATCAGAGCTCCTTTGTTGTTGTTATTATGTGCCATGGAGTCGGTTCCTACTCATAGCGACCCTGTACAGGGTTTCCGAGGCTGTGAATCTTTACGGGAGCAGAAAGCCTCATCTTTCTCCTGCGGAGCAGCTGGTGGTTTGGAACTGCTGATCCTGAGGCTAGCAGCCCGCTTCGTAACCACTATGCTATCAGAGCTCCTTTAAGATATAGAATTACATTTTATTTTTGCCTATAGATCTTTTCAGAGAATATATTTTGTTGCGTTTTACAGTTATTGAGATTCCCATTCAAAAATTCATTCACTCGTTGTTCTGTCGCATTGGTTGTAATCTCGAGAGTTCCCCCTTGTTGGCTGTCGGCCAAGTAGATGTTCTTTTGTCTTCTCCACGACTTGGTGAATACGTTTCACAACCTGCCGGAGCATATCTGGTGCTGTTCCTCACCTGATTCGGTCAGCATCACCCAGGGCAGTCTCCCTTTTGATTAACTGGACCTCAGTTACATAGGCAGAGTTTCTGTTGCCATATCACGTAACAGCTTTTCAGCATATTCCTAATTCTGTGCACACACAACCCTTCCCGTCTTTGAAAATCGAGAGTTAAACTCAACAGAAATATTTGCACGTGACCCACAGATCTAAAGTGCTGAAAGTGGGGGAGAAGTTTTCAGCCCTGGGTGTAAGAATTTTTAATCAGAAGTATTGTCTTCCTGACACGGTTGCCGTTAGCCTGAATTTGGAGTAAGTCTGCGTAGTTTGGTAACCTCTCTCATTTCTTTACGCTGTAGGTGTGGTGTCGCTAGTGGCTGTTCACCCTTCTACAGTAAACACACTCGGAAAACAGCTCCTGCCAAAAACCTTTGGACAGTCCAATGTCAACATTGCACAGCAAGTGGTAAGGAGCGCTTTGACAAGGATGGGCTGTAGATGTTCTGGGGTACGGGTTGGGGTCTTAACGGGTAAATCAGGAGGGGGATTCGTTGTATGCTCTTACTGCCCTGGATAGTAGTGCTCAAATGTAGTTGGCTTCCCCTGCTCCTGTCAAGATTCTTGCAGCTCTGGACTCTGTACTTGTCCCAAGATTTGAGGAAGGACCTTTACTATTGCCATGGTAATGATGCTTTGTCTGTATCTGTAGAGGCTCATGTCCTCAAAGTGTTTGCGTGTGCTTTCTCCTGTTTGCTTTTCCAATGCCTGTGCAGTTGGTAAGGTGAATATTTGAGGCCCATCATGACCAATGAAGAGAACACTCAAAATCTTGAGACAGCTGCCTGCTAGCACCGCCAGGCGGGGAGTAAGGACCTGAATGAATTCCTTCTTCCACCTGCCCCTCCCCTGCACACGTACTCTTTTTACCCAATGCTCAATTGTGTTCTTCTTGCCCATGGTTTGCTTAATAGATCTCAACTCTTAGTTAACAAGTGTTTCTTGTTTGAGGTTTTTTTTTTTTTTAAAGAAAAGGAAAAGGTGCTTTGGAGGAAAGTGGGTGGAGAAATGGTCTGCGCATTGCGGCTTCACCTGTTTCAGGTGATGCGCGAGCAGGGTCAGCGCAGGGCATTTGGGTGGTGGTTGCCAGGTGCCTAAAGGCGCAGTGGAAGGCTGCCATCGGCATGATGCAGAAGGACAGCTGTCGCTTGCAGGTTTGACTGCACAGGATAAGGCAGGCTATGATGTCTGTCCCCACATCCCTTCCCTTAGAAGCGGGCCGTGTGTGCTGCATGTTAACACTGCCTTTTACCGGTGCTGTTTGCTTTGTTTGCATCCTTTGTTTCGTCTTCTCTGATGCCTTCTAGGTGTTGGTCCATCAAAGACAAGAAAATAATCCCAAACAGAATTCTGCAAGTGGGGTGGGGTGGTGGTTTGCACGTCTGGGTATCAGAGTCGGGACCCCTAGCAGGTAGGTAGGGTTTACCCTGTGCAGATTCTGTTTGTGACTAGAATCTTCAATGAGGGCTGTGTGCACGTAAACATGGTCAGAGCATATTGAGGGTTTACTGTCTGGTGCCTAGGTGTGGCTGCTCGCTGCCCTGGTCTAGTCTGTGCGTGGCTGTGGGTTCTAGCTTCAGGCCCTTCTTGTCAAGTCCTGGCCCTTGTGATGGAAACGAGTGTCCCTCTAGCAGCTCCGCCCTGTTTCTCTGGTGTCTTCCATTCTGCCTTGTGAGGTGCTGATGCCTTCTGTCTCCATGCCACCCCACACTCTCCCCCCACATATATGTGGAGGGACCTGACCTTTTGGCGGAAAAACCTTTGTTTGGAGTGAGAGGCTTTGTACTGGATGCGCTAGGAGTGTTGGGCTCGTCTTTCATTCCATTTGAGGGAAGTATCCTGTCTGAGTAATAATTTTCCCCTCCTTCTTCAGGGAACAATTGCCGTCCACCACTGATCTTTTCATCATTTCTATGCTTTGCTCTTTCTTTTGAATTCCTTTCCATTGTTTTCACAGAGTTCAGTTGCACTTGTGTTTTCCTAGATCCTTTTTAATGGATTCTAGTATTGATTTCATTTTAAGAGCAAGCTCCTTGCGCTTTCAGCAGCTTTCCAGCGCACATTTAGAACCCCTAACCTCTGGAGTTCTGCCCTTGGGCCACTTCTGTCCATGCTTGGTGGTTATAAGTACTTCTCACTGGACATGCCTTTTTTTAGCTTCAATTTTGAATTATGCACTGTGCCAGACATAGTGTGGCTAGTGGGAAGGGAAGGGTGTTCAAATCTCGGCTTTTCCATTCACAAAGTGCAGCTGCCCCAGTGCCCTCGTCCCTGAGCGGTAATATGGAATCTCTGTGAAGTATTGAAAGCCAGTCACAGTAGGAACGTCCTAACACCGTAATTGTCAATCTTCCAGTTTTCTAAAGGTGTCATTTTGATGTCAGCCGAAAATTCCATTTTAAATTTCACTTTATGACGGTGTGCCCGCAGTTTGATTTTTATAACCTCTGTGTACTGTATTATTGCAGAGTTTAGCTTGGGGAATAAACCTTGTTAATTATACCAACAGTTCTGTTGAATTAATCACCCTGAAAGTTAAATACATGATCTGAATTACACTGATTTAAGTTGAGAACAAAATGACTCTTTTTTTTTTTTAGTATACCTCACAAAATCCCACACTTTGTACATACCACAGGTTAAAGCAATAGGGCTTGCTTGATTTTGATATCAGGGATGAGGTCTAATCCTGTGAGTGAAAAAGACCCCTGGGGTCATTCGATTTTCAGCATGCAGGTAATCAGTGTGCCAGAGTGCCTCATTGTGTTCATTGTTGGAAATGAGATCGAATCCTGCACTTGACATCCACAGTCGTCTGTTGTTGTTAGTTGTCACGTTGAGTCAGATGACTGAGTGTATGCAAAGTAGAATCTCTCCATGGGGCTCTCAAAGCTGTGACCTTTTTGGAAGCCGTTTGCCAGACCTGTCTTCCGAAACACCTGTGGGTGGATTTGAACAGCCAACCTTGGGGCTTAGTATTCAGGTGCTTAGCTATTTGTGCCACCTAGGGGCTCCTCTGTCAAGAAGAAGCCTTACCTATGTCTTCTGCAGCACTGAGATTTTATTGTAAACCTCTCATTTTGCAAAAGTTAACATCTGAACAGAAAAATAGCACAAACGCAGAAAACCTTCTACACAGTTCCCTGCCGCAAAGTCCTGCAGAGCTGTCACTCAGCCCGGAAACAGAACGGGAGGGCCACCCCAGTTGCTGCCCCTTAGGCCTCTTCCAGCTTCAGCTTTTCCCTCCTGCAAAAGCTAAACACCAACCAGATTTTTCTGGTAAAAGCAACCTTTTCTTGATCATTTTAGCACCTGACCACACTTGTCTATGCAGCGTACTTTACTTTTTGGGTTTTTCAGTAAGTAGGGTCCTACTGTCTGCATACTGAAATAATATTAATTTCCATGTTGTTAAGTGCCATCAAGTCGGTTCGGACTCAATAGAGCAACCCTGTATAGGGTTTCCAAGGAACAGCTGATGGGTTTGAACTGCCAACCTTATGGTTCACAGTCCAGTGTTGATCCTACAACATCACACTAAGGTCCATGTTTTGAGCCTGTGATATTAAGGTAAAAACATTACACCCTGTCTAGTCCGATTTTCCTTAGACCAGGCTTAGGAAGGATTAGGCTTTGAGATAGATGCAGGTGTTCACCTTGGAAGCAGTAGGATTGGCTTGTTACAGGGCTGGGGGAGGAGAGACTATTCTGTGTTAGATGACCTAGGCTGGTTTTGACCTCGCCACTCTGAGATTGGATGTTCAGAGCACACACTTTTCTATATTCTCAAGACTTCAGGTCTTCACCGAGTGTCCTCAAGTAGCTCTGAGTGTGGTGGGGATTATAGATAGGAGCTGTAGAGTCAAAAGGCTGAGTTTGAATGTGAATCCATTCTTTCCCATCAGCCCCCAGCTGCTTGACCTCATTGTTAAAGTGCTGTTGAGTTGCTTCTGACGTGTGGCCACCCGGATAGGGTTTCCAAGGAACAGCTGGTCAGTTTGAACTGCTGACCTTGTAATTCAGCACTTATCCCACAGTGCCACACTGGGACTTTAAGCCACATTATTTACTTTCTCTGAATCTCCGTTCCCATCTGAACAGTAATAACTTTACCCCTTTTCCAGGATTGTTGTTGAAATGATTGAAAAAGTTACTACCGAAATGAGCTTTGGGGGGGGGGGGGTGGCGGTCAGTGCCTGGTCATCACCATCTTTCCCAGCTCCAGACACAGTAGAGACTGACTGCGTGCTGACGCTCGCTCACACCTGGAGAGGTGGGGGTCAGAGATGAAACTGCCATCCTTGAGGGTTAATAGTCATTGCATCAGAGCAGAACAGACGTCACCAGGGAGTCCCTGAAACACTTCCTGCCTGCATGGACCCCACATGGACGCTTTTCTCCTCAGACCCCTGAGCTGGAGCCTGGGAACCTTCTCGCATAGGAAGTGCTTCCCAGGATCTTAGATTTCTGCCTCCAGATGGAAAGCCAGTGCTAAGTGTAGGTGAGCCATCTGCTTGGATTAGCACATGCTTACCTCTTGATGCTGCGGTTTCTGTACCCGTCCCGGTGTGGTTTCAGGCCCCTGGCCACTCCCAGCTGAAATCGTGTGGCTGCTGTTTTGAAATCTGGTTGCTTTTCCTTCTTCCTCAAAGACTTAAGCTGTTAATTCTAGTCATTCTCTTCTTACATTGCTCATCCCCCCACCCCCAGTTCACTGCTTCCTCTCTTAACCTTCTGGTCCTTTGACCCACAGACACTCCCTTCTTCTGTGTGTCCCCCCCCTCCCCCCCCTTCTCAGGGTAGCCTGTATTTCTGTTGATCTGTAATGTTTGTAGTTTATACTGGAACGATGACATAATACCCAGTAGTAAGCATCAGTGTTGATTGGTGTGCATGTATGTGTGTGTATGACACAGACCCACAGAAAACATTTTCCTGCAGTATGTATACCATACTCCGGATCTAGCCTGGTCTTCCGTCACCAAGATCCAGAAAGAAGGGAAGAGATGGCTTGAGCCAAGTACATGTCAAACTCTGCACAGTAAAGTGTGTGTGTTTCATTCTTAGGGGATGCTAACTCGTACCCTACTCACAGCCTGAGCAAGGTCTTTATGTGGAGTCTCCTTACGTCTAGGTCCACACTTGATTAAGGCTGGCCAATAGCAGGAGCAGAGAGACAAGTTTATATAAAGACCAGCACCGGAGAGCTGGGAGTCAGCTGAGGCTTGAGGGCTCAGGTAGGCATGGACAAAGAGCAGTTGTGAATGTTGGAAATCGCCTTACAGTTGTAACTAGGGGAGCAGACACCCACACTCTCAAGGAGCTCAAAGTGTGTGTCACCTGGCACTGGTCAGCAAGCAGTGCCAGTGTCCACACAACACACTTCCTTCCCGGGGATTTCCAGGTAACAGGAGCATGCACCAAGAAGCTTCCCACAGGGGAAACAAAGCGTTGAATGAATCTTGCATGTAGAACTGCTAAGGTGATAAAGCAAACCGCAGAGTTCTGCTCAACTTCGCTGTCTCTAATGACTTAGCGCCTTAGCGTGGTGAACCAGGGGTGTATGTAAGTCCTGAGACCAATCTGCTGTGTTCTCTGAGCTAAAACGCTCAGTGATGGTTGACCGTCTGTGTGCTACAACTATAGTCAACTGAGTCCTGGTGTGGTTCTGTGGGATAAAGCACTGGACTGCAAGGTCAGTTTGAAGCTCAAGATCGCCAGTTCACATTTACCAGCCGCTCCTCAGAAGCCCTATACAGGGACACTGTGAGTTGGAACCGACTCATTGTTCCTTAACAACAACATAGTAAACTCAGGTGTTTTTAATATAAGCTTTTTAATATTATGTCATAACTGAAGCTCAGAGACACTAAGGAGAGGAACAGGAGGGTTCCAAATGCTTGGTTACTGAGTCCTTCTTATCTAGGGAATGTTTACTCCTTCACTCACTCTGAGGCAGACTATTTTTCAGAGCAGTTTAAAGCTTACAGAAAATTTGAGCTGAAAATACAGTGTTCGTATATATTCTCCCTCCAGGCCCCTTTGCCTTATGCTTAATGTCTTGCATTGGTGTGGTTCATTTGTTAACACTGATGACAGATTATAATGAACTAAGGAAACGTTACAGTTAATACTGTGTGGTGCTGTAGGATTAACACTGGACAGCAAATCACAAGGTTGGTGGTTCAAACCCACCAGCTGCTCCTCGGAAACCCTGTACCAGGGTGGCTAGGGGTCGGAATCGACTCAACGGCACTTAACAACAAGAAGCCTCATAACATTAAAATGAATTGAAATCTATAGTTTTACAGTTTACATAGGGATCATTCTTTGGGTTGGACAAGACACAGAGTTTTGAAGAATCAATAATGTTATGCCCCCACCATTACAAAACACCCTAAATGCTCTATGCTTCACTGTTCTACTCACACCCCCACAACCAAGTTTATGTTAATACACACTTAGTGAGCATCTACTATATACTGTGTGCCTGGGCCTCGGGTTCTCTGTTCATAGTGTAGAATAAAGAATTTAATTACTCTGCTGTTGTGAAGAGGATCCGATAGAACATAGTTCTAGAGTTACGAACAACTAGAGTAAGGGCCATCTAGTGGTCACTTTGGTAGCGTCAAGATCGAGTGTCTCATAAAGTCATGAGATTGGATTTAGTGGAGGCCCTTTTTAGGGAGAAAAACACATGGAAGGTGGTTGGGAAATTGTGTTTTAAAGGAGTTGACTGAGTTGAGCTTCTGCTTGTATACGCGTTGGGTGTATTTGCATGTTCAGGCAAAAGACTTCACAAATTTCAAAGCCTTCCGCTCACTTTCTTGAGAATGCTAATTTGAAGAAAAATGGTTTGTGCCAAAGTAATTGCTTTGAGTAGATAAGCCTTCAATGCTTTTCCAAATGCTTTTAGCCACAAGAGAAATGCAATACGTATTGGGGTCCAGAGCACCACCTTGAATGAATGCATACGTATGTTTAAAAGAGACCAGAGTTTCATTAAGCAGTATGCACTTACGGGAAATTTTGTCCGCTTTTATTTCTCATTTCCCCCCAATTTCACTAATTAGATTTCATGTGAGGGGGATGATCCGCAGTTTCAAAGGTACGCTGCCAAGTCTTCTATGATAGAATTATAAATATCACATTTCTATTTAAATGCAAATGAAGATTCAGTTACCTTTTTTCATGGGTTAGAACTTGTGTGGACCATTGCCATCGAAGCCAGCTGATTTGAGCTTAGAGACAGATGATTCTGTAATAAGTTCGTCTGTCAGGGCTTCACAGGCCGCACCAGGTGTTGTGTTTATCCTACTAAGAGGGGAAGTAAGGGGGAGAAGGCGGTTTAAGTCACTCAGGCAGGGTGAGTCCCCTCAAAGGCATATTCTCTTCTCTCCCAGATGGAGGTTCACCCCTGTAACAGTCAGGTGTCCAATATACATAACTGAAATGTCTTCAGTTCACACAAACAGTTGAATCACCGAGGCATTTTGCTTTGTGGTAAATTGTATCTTTTAACATTTACTGAGAAATAGTGCTACTGAATAATTTTACTGACACATCGGCTCATTGATTCAGATGTAAAGATTGTGTGACAGGATCTAAGGAAAACTAAAATTTTAATCGACTGTACAAATTTGCAATGTCTGTTTATTCCCAAATGCTAACACTTAAACATCAGTGGAACTGATGGCCTATTGTCAAAATACAAACCACTTACTCACTTCCTTTTATGAAGAAACCATCCTTGTTGAACATCTAAGACTCTCAGGAAGGGGGATTATTTTAGTGCTTTCTGTATGCATGAGGCTAATTGACAAATGTCACTTGGGATCATGTGCAAAGGATTTGCTTGACCGCTGAGAGTCGCCACTGTCACCAGATGTTCCAAACCCCATGGGATTTTGTGCCCAGTGTGAACTCCCAGTCTTGCCTTGACAGTGTTTGTTATGCTGGGACGCCTAAGGAAGGTGCCCCAGCGATGAGATACACAGTGGATCAGTTTCACACCCAGGCATTGCTTATCAACTTGTTGGTAGCTCTTCCGCTTGGACTATTGACGATCTGTGGCTGTGCCTTTAATTCTATGTATGCTTTTGTTTCGAGAGCTGTTCTTCGTTTGTTTTTCTAGTCAGCCATTTTTTAGTCCCACCAAAGGACGCAAATTTGATGGTTGCCCTTATTGTTGAAAGAAAGTAAAAGAAGATGAGAGAAAAATTAAGATACGTTGGTGACGTTCTTTATACAGAATGAATTGGGATACATTTTTCTCTTCTTCTTTTCCAATATCCTTCCGACCTACGCCCCCTCCTCCTAAAATTAAAAAATCATGAAACCTGAAGTTAATTGAGTCTCCTTAGCAGTTTAATAGTCATTCATTTGCCACTGGAGGAATGTGATGGTCTGTTCCTGACTGTTTGAGTTGTTTTCAGTTACTTGTTACTTGTGTTGAATTTGAGGTTGATGAAGGGGAACCAGAGACAGGATTGATCAGAACAGATGTGACTATACCGGTCAATATTCCAAAAGCCCTTGGGTACTTAATGTTATCATTGTTCTTTCTAATTCTTTGTGGTTAATAAAATTCAGAAGCGGCTGTAGATAATAAACAAATAATAAAAATTAGCAGCATCATAATATGGGAGATTTCTGATTGTATTCTGAATTGTCTTTTTTAACTGTAGGTAATTGGTACACCTCAGAGGCCTGCAGCGTCAAATACTATCCTGGTAGGAAGTCCACACACCCCTAACACACACTTTGTATCCCAGAAGCAGGCTTCAGACTCCTCACCTTGGTCTGCTGGGTGAGCAATATTCCTCTCAAACTATTAGAATTAACAGCGTTGCTTAGAGTTGTAATCGTTCAAGTTCTCCATGGGCCCCCCCCCCCCCAATATGTTGTATGATCATGCCGTTTGTTATTAATTGGAAGAATGCGCGGTTCATAGCCAGAACAGACCCGTAATCAAAGCTAGTCTCCCTCCTCAGTAAATGAGAAGCGGGATTGCCAGGAAGGCAGTCAGTAGTGTGTTTTGGTATCACTGTTACAATCTGAAGGTTTATCAGTTTTGGCAGAAGAACAGGAAGAAGCTGGTGCTGTCAGAACCCACTCAGTGGTAACTGTACACTTTTCATTGGCTACACTGCAAAGTAACAACTTAGGAAGTAAATGTAATTTTTCAAGAAGCCAAAAGACTATGGCTTGTTAATATCACCTCCCATGGAACCCAGTAGGATGGTTACTAAGGTTGTTTCTTTCTCTGAAGCAAAGTCTGATTCCAACACTGTTTCCCTTGGTCAGCTGTATTGCTTTCCTTAGAAACAAGCAAACAGAAACAAAACAAAAAAGACCATGCCTCTAATGGCCATAAAGCAAAACAAATCATCTGCCTAGTTTAGAAAATTAAGCCAATTAGAAGCCAAGAGTGTCCCCCCTTTTTTTGTTGTTCATGTGCTGACTCAAAAAGTTAAGAAATTTGGATTTACACTCTCAGTCTGAACCACTCAGAATGTCGCTAAAAGTCTCGGCATCCATTTTCATGAGTCATCACAGTCTGGTGAAATTGCCACTAAAAATTCCTCCGTTTAAACCAAAACAGCCCAGAATTTCTTCCTGATGCCTGTTGACATCTTAAAAATGTAGTATTTATTTAGTGTACTGATAAGTAGATTTATATTTATACATATTAGATATAGCATAATTGGTTCCCATTTCTTTGGATGTCTGACCCATTTTTCCTGATATTTGAAGATACAGACGTGAGATCTGACCTCTTTCTTAAATGTTCATTTTCTCTGACCTTTAAAGAAAAAAGCGAAACATTAAATACCCACACTAACAATGTACTGTCTCCTTTAATGTAGCTAATTTTCCTATGCCTTGGAATAATGAGGTAATCTGGGCCCAACCCTATGAGATCTATTGTCCTGGTTGGACTTGGGTTTCTGTTTGTGTAGCGTATTCCATCTTTTGGGTCAGCGTGTATCTTAACTCCAAGTTTGCGCTGAAGAATGCTGACGGCCGTTTATGTTTTCCTTTGTATTTTCGAAGGAAACGAAACCGAAAAGGAGAGAAGAATGGCAAAGGTCTGAGGCATTTTTCGATGAAGGTTTGTGAGAAAGTGCAGCGGAAAGGGACCACTTCATACAACGAAGTGGCTGATGAGTTGGTTGCAGAGTTCAGTGCTGCTGATAACCACATTTTACCAAATGAATCGGTAAGTATACGTGCATGGGCTCATGGGAGAGACCAGGTAGAGCAGAACTCAACTGCATTTCCTAACTCACCTCCCACCTTTTTAAAAAACAAAACAACAAAAAAAACAGTTTCAAATATACAGCAAAGATCCAGATTCCGTTAAAAAACAAAACAAAAATCGGGAACCTTTTGAAAATATGTTGCCTATATGCTCCATCAGTCCCAGTTGTTTTTGTGTGTATCTGGGTGGTACAAATGGTTAAGCACTTGGCTACTAACTGTAGGTTGGCAGTTCAAATCCACTCAAAGAGGCACCTTACTCCGAAAAAAAGGCCCCGCATAATGCTTCCAATAGGAGACAGCCTTGACAAACCCTCTACTCTGAAACACTTGGGGTGGCCCTGAGTCAAAATAGACTCAACACCCAACTGGTTTGGTTTTTTATTTTCTCCTTCAAGCTGAGACATTGTCCTATATACTCACAACATAACCATTAAAGCCAGTAAGTTAATACGGAAACATTGGCACTGTGTAATGTTCCGACTCTTCCTCCATTTGTCTGGCTAAGATTTCCCACTACGGGTTCTTTATACAAAAGGTTCCAGCTTAGAGACACATGTTGCATTTAATGATCACATCTCTTCCGTCTCCTTCAGTCTGGAATAATTCCTGGGTCTTGCCTTGGCTTGTATGACCTTGGCACTTTTGAAGGTCACAGACTGCCTGGTTTGGTATGTCTGATGTCTCCCCCTGATTAGATTCAGGTTGAGCCTCTTTGGTGGGGACCTCACAAAGAGAAAAGTAGAAACCCACCTTTCCATTGTCAAGTTTCTCCTCCTCCCTTGTTTAGTAATGAAGGATGTGTGGGCATTACTGGGAGATTCTAAATCTGATGAGGGTCAGACTCAACCGGCTGCTCCTTGGTGGTGACTCTGTATGGGGTCGTGATGAGTCAGGGCCGACTCGATGGCACTTAAAAACAACCACAACATTCTACTCTGCTGGGCAGCACAGTGGCTCCATAGGTTACGTACTGGACTGTAAACCACTAGGTTGGTGGTTCAAGCCCACCAACCACTAGGGGGCAGAAAGATAAAGCTTTTCACTCCTGCAAAGATTACATCCTCAGAAACCCTATCACTGTGAGTCGGAACCAGCTTCTTGGCACTTGACAACAACAACATTCTATTCTACTGACTGAATGGTTGGAAGTTCAAACCCAACCTCTGTCACCATGGGAGAAAGCCCAAGAGGCCTGTAAAGATTACAGCTCAGAGTCTAAATCACCTCAGTGGCATTTAAAAACACTGGCATCTTTGATTCAGTGGCTTCCAGCTTATCACTCATGTGTTGATTTCGATACTCAAAACAGTGGGGAACGCCTCTGACCTGACTTAACTGCATGTATTGGAAACCACGAATTCACACGAATGGCTGAAATTCCAAACCAACACCACAGGATTCTTGCTAGTTTTCCTCCTTTTTCCCACATTATAGATTTCCTCTCTGACAATGAGAAACTTGACTCCTATTCTCTTAAATCTGTGGACCTATGGGATGAATGGAGTCCTGGTGTGTGGCTGTGGGCTAATGCGTCAGACTGCAAACTTTTTTGAACTACAAGGTCGGTGGTTCAGGCTCACCAGCTGCTCCTTGGCAATCCTGTTGGGGGCCACTGTGGGTCGGAATCAACTCGACGGCATTAACCACAACAACATAGGATGAATACGCAGAATGAACTAGTTGTCCTTTGTTCCTGCTGCCCTGTCTTCTGCTCAGTGGTCCTCCTTGGAGCCTCCCTGGCCTCTGACACCATGTGCCAAGTGTCCTCGCCCTACTCTGGGCCTCTGTGGCCCCCAGGTACTCCAAAGCTGGCACTGACACCTGCTTTGCTGAGCCCCACCTAGCGGCGTGACAATGGTATTGGTCACAAGACGATAATGTTAGGGTTATACCATGAACTGAATTACCGAGTCTGCTCACCTGGCCTGAAAGTTTAAATTGTAGATTTAAAATGTAATTCTGCAAGGTGTGTTGGATCTTTCTAAACGATAAACGCTCTGTCTTCACTAGGCTTATGACCAGAAGAACATAAGACGACGAGTCTATGATGCCTTAAATGTCTTAATGGCCATGAACATTATCTCCAAGGAGAAGAAAGAGATCAAATGGATCGGCCTGCCTACTAACTCGGCTCAGGAATGTCAGAATCTAGAGGTATAATTGTGATCGGTTCACTTTAACTATGTTCATGCACGGATGTCCAAAAATGATTCTGTCTCAAGTGGGCGTATTTTCATGTTCTATCCCACTGATCACTTTTAAAGGTTATTTTGCTACATGATCTTGGGCTTATCTAGGATCCAGTGAAGAGATGCATTCTTGCTCCTCTGTTGGAGTTGGTTCCCTATATTTCTCAGCTCTGGTGCTAGTCATCAAATGAGAAACTTTCCAGTGTTTCCCCATTTCATGTTAGAAATACATGTCCAGACTAACTGAATTCACTGGGAAACACTCAGTTTGGTTGTGTTACAGCTGTTGGTACTTACGTTCTAGTGGAGGTAAATTCTGAATCCTTGTTTGTGGGATTTTTAGTCTTTAATATAATAACCATATCCAAGGAATTAAGAGAACAGGAGGAGTAGAACATGTGACTGAAATGTTTACCAAGGGACTTTTAGAAGTTTGTAGAAAAATCCTGTCTTTATTTTTTTCCCCCATTATCTTTTGTTAATTTTTTTTTTTATTGTGAATTGAGTGATAGTTCACATGGGAGAACATCGGCTTTACACCATCGTTTCATTGCTATGATTACAATCTTCTCCATGCATTATCATTCAATAGTATTCACTTCCATTCCCTCTGGGGTTTTTTGGGGGGGGGTGGAGGGATGTACACAGAAACACTCACGAATATATAATCATTTAAACAACCAAAGGTCACACTTCCCATCATCTTTTCATTCCATTTTTCCCACAAACTTTTTGAAGGACCCTCATATACATTTACTGCTATTTAAAGCCCCCAACCCCAAAAAATCCAGTAGCACCTATGTTTTCCCCCACCATCAGATTCAGGACAAGTGTTTTGGGTAAGAACCTACTTAAGTTGTATTGTGTTGATATGGGTTGTAACACATGCTGTAGTAGATGGATTGTGACCGTTTCTTGGGTGGATGTCTTTTTGAAGGTAGAGAGACAGAGAAGACTTGAAAGAATAAAACAGAAACAGTCTCAACTTCAAGAACTTATTCTACAGGTAATAATACATTTTCTCTTTGGAGGCAAGTGGCTTTTCCAGCAGTAATTTGGGTTCGTGGGAGAGGTCAGGCAGCAGGCTGAGGGACTTACGTGAAACGGATGTTAGCCACTGTGGCAATGAGTGGAATTAGTAGGAGGAAGCTCACAGAGGGAAAAGCCAAGGGACACGAGATTCCAGGGAAGAGAGTCAAGGGCAGTTTGCAGCACAGAATAAAGAAAGACCAAAAAGAGTATGTGTGGGCGGTGGGCTGTTTGTTGGGCCCGCCCACGTTCTTCCTACAGTAGGTGTCTGCCTGACTTGGAGATCTGGGCAGGGGCCTGTAGACAGCACACTGTAAGCCACTGTTGATTGTGGGTGTTTTCCACCCAGACCGACGGACTTGTAGTTAATGGAGGTGTGTGTTCATTTGCACTATTCAAAACATGGAGTACTCTGGTAATTCACCAATTAAATGATCATTTAGAAGAGTCGTCTGGAACTCAGCTATCTTAGGATGGGTCAGCGGGTGTGTGGTCACTCTCAACTTTGTGGCAGGGAATGCATCTGAGGTCAGGACCTTCTGGTGGGCTGGAAATGGACGTTGTGTGAAGGTGGTAGCGGAGAGACAAGGAAGTCCCCCCCTTCTCCACAGCAGAATTGGGGAGAGTCGGAATGGGCTCTGGACCCCCAGTCTCTTCCTCTCAATTGCTCCCCATTACAATGGATTGTTTTCTTTTTGTTTGTTTGTTTGTATCTATGGCACGTTATAGCTATTTAAAAGAGAAAAGCAAAAAAAAAACAAAAAACAAAAAACAACCGGTGTCAGCTCCCATGGGGCAGGTCTTGGAACTGCATCCCCACCACCTAACTGGGACCTGGCTCACAGCCAGCTAGGAAGTGACAATGAATTTTCTGGCTTTAAATTAGCAGTAAGAAAGTTGTCTTCAGTGTAATGGAAACATCCATTTTGGGGCACTGAAACCTTTACTTTCTAGATGTAAGCCCATAGGACTCTCCCTGCCCCCCTTTTCACAGGTCCCAGATGTGGTACTTCCCAATATGTGCCACCTGGCAAGTCCACACCCGCCTGGAAGTGTAACTGTCATCCATCCCGCGGAGTCCCTCCCGTGAAAGAGCAGGGGAGGAGCAGCGGGGCAAGGCACGCAGCTGGCGAAATGGATTTTATATTTTCCCTATTCGTTCCTTTTCTAAGAAAATGTTGCTATTTAATTTGCAAGAGTGCTTGGATAATCCCACATTCTAAATTCTCCTTTGAGTTATTTGCTTTTTCAGAATGGATTTATTTCCTTTACGCAGGCTGCTAAGTCTGCCCGGTACTAAGGAGGTCACATGAATTAACCAGGTGTCTGCGCTCTCCAGAACCTTCCCTGTGATCTCTAAAGGAGGGTTCAGATATACTCCCTTATCTGTTTAGTGGAGTCCTGGGGTGGTGCTGTGGGATAATGCACTGGACTGCAAAGTCAGTTTGAACCACAAGGTCAGGGGTTCAAGCTCACCAGTTGCTCCTTGGAAACCTTATACAAGGTTGTTCTGGGTCGGAACCGACTCCATAGCACTTAACAACAACATCTGTCCAGTGGGGGTATGGGGAGGATTATAAAGAACCTCTTGGGGAAAAAGTATTAACCTTATTCCATAAAATGCATGATGTTAGTGTATAAATTGGTTTGCCTTATTTTAGCAAATTGCCTTCAAGAATCTGGTGCAGAGAAACCGCCAGGCAGAGCAGCAAGCCAGCCGGCCGCCTCCCTCCAACTCGGTCATCCACCTCCCCTTCATCATTGTGAACACCAGCAAGAAGACAGTGATTGACTGCAGTATCTCTAATGACAAGTAGGTGGTTCGTGGGGAAAGAGACGCTGACGTTTCCCATCTGCCCTTTTGCTTCAGCTGTGAGGTTCAGATCAAAAGTGAACAAGTGCCTCCGTCCATCTGTCTTGTTAGAAGGAAATAGCAACTCTGGTTAACTGAACAATTGTAAATGCTGAATTTATAATGATTACATGCAGCCTTTTCAGGAGCACATTGGGCTCCATAGGATATAAGCAGCGGACTACAGACCGCAAGGTAGGCAGTTCAAGCCCACCAGCCACTCTGAGGGAGAAAGACGAGGCTTTCTGATCCCGCAAAAGATAGAAAGATGATGAGTTAAAAGCGAGTCAACGACACTTAACAACAACAAATGCGACCTTTTACTGTAATTCATTTCCATGGCCTATCTGTCGGCCTTCTAATGGAAACAAATAAAATGTATGGGCATCATGATGAAGACTCTTTTCTTAATGTTGCATAACAGGCTAGACAGTGGGAGCACCATAGAATAAGCACGAGACTACTGCTCACCACAAAGTCAGTGGTTTGTACCCACCCACCTCTCTGTGGGAGAAAGATGGTACTTCCTGCTCCTGCAAGGATTTTCAGCTGCGGAGATTCTAGAGTAAGCGGCTGTGAGTTGGAGCTGACTGGGTGGTAGTCGGGAGTTTGTAGATGGCAACTCACAAGCCGCTTGAATCTACAGTGCCTTTTGTTTTGTGGTAAAGAGATAATATCAGGTAAAATGGCCTCGAAAAAGGTTGGGTCTATTAAGGGTGAGTGGGTAGACTTGCTTTGTGGATACCCTAAGCCAAGGTGTGTTTGTTGTCAAGGTGTGTTTAGTCTCAGAAATCGTAACGATTGTACTGTTCTAACAGAGAGCATTTTTCCACTTCCAGATTTGAGTATCTCTTTAATTTTGACAACACGTTTGAAATCCACGATGATATAGAAGTATTAAAGCGAATGGGAATGGCTTGTGGACTAGAATCAGGAACTTGTTCAGCCGAAGACCTTAAAATGGCAAGAAGTTTGGTACCTAAATCTCTGGAACCTTATGTGACAGGTCAGTCAAAGCTACCCCGATGGCCACTGTGTATATTTGCCAGATGCGCTTCAAAGCTACCCCGATGGCCACCGTGTATATTTGCCAGTTGCGCTCATGTTCTTCCGAGAGTTACTGGAATGCTTGGCTCCTCTTTTGCTGAGATTGGTTTCAAACGTGTTGATACCGGGGCAGTGAGACAGAAAGCAGAGAAAGTTGAAGAGGCCCGCACAGGCGAGGGCTGTGGGTGGAGACGGCAGAACGTGTGGCAGTGAGCTTGTATATGTGTAAGTGGTCTTACAGTGGACTAAGACGGTGGTCCTGTTAGGTGACGTTGCCTGCTGGGGTTTATTGTGATTTGAGAGTTCATAGCAGCCTTTTGTGTATTTCTCTGTATAGTTTATATGGTGTCGGTGTTACAGAAAAGTTAGGATTTCATCTTCCAAATCTCATCCCCAAACTGGGGAAAAATTGAAAATCCTTGAGGAGAGTGTAACAGGCATGGTAGTCTCCGCTGCCGTATCCCCCCACCCCACACCCACACACACACACACACAGACTCGTCCAGGTAATCAGTTGTCTGCTGTAACACAGTAACCAAGAAACTACATGTCAAAGCTATTACATGTGCTTCTCCTGTAAATGACGTTCCTGCTTTGGAATATGAGTGAATGTTGACATAAAAGTGGAATGGTTTCTTTTGTAGGAGCTTTTGTTCTTGGTCCTGGCTTTGCATCCTGATAAAGTTACGTAGCTGAGTTGTCAGGGGGCTGGCCACACGCTCGCTCAGAGGAGAAAGGCTCCATGATGAAGTGAGAAATTGTCGTCTGCTGTTGCCCTACATTTGTGGTGTGAACTAGTCCTAGAGAAACAGTGCACTGGACGAGAGTGGAAATTGACTCCTTGTAACTGGAGGGTTTCTAAGCTCCCTCTAGGAGAAATGGAAGCCTGTCCTGAATTTTAAGTTCATCCAGTGAAAACCAGTTCCTTCTCCGTTTTTCAATTATGCGGTGCTCCTTGCCGATCTGTATTCTTCATGGATTCTTGTGAACCCTCTTCATTTTGTCCTTCCTTTGGTAGAAACGGATCCATTTTCTGCTAGACCAGTGGTCTCCCAAATGGAGTGCAAGTTCCCAAGTGGGCTGTGTAGGATGGTTCTTGAGGAACTGGAAGAAAAGTAAATTGTGTGCATATTATTTTTATTTTTGCAGCATCCTTTGATTTCTATGTTTGGTTTTAAACGCTAGTAGTTACACTGGTAACAGTTGCATGTACACGTAATATAAATGAACGTACATGTATGTATATTAAGGAATCCTGCTGTGGGCTAATGCGCTGGACTGCAAAAATCAGTGTGATCCGCAAGGTCGGCTGTTCAAGTCCACCAGCTGCTCCTTGGAAACCCTGTACAGGGTCGCTATGGGTCTGAACTGACTTGAAGGCACTTAACAACAACATATAAAAGATTTCCATGCATTTTTGGAAAGAAGACTCTCAGGAGATTTTTTTTAAAAAGTTAGAGACCACCACATTAGCTATGCAGAAAGCTCCACGTGGGTAGGGGCCGGATCTGTTTTCTTCACCGTTTTGCACGTCAAGACACTCAGTACATGGTCACAAGACGTTGCTTAAACGACTCCTCAAATCATTCCTCATGTTTTCATAATCTTCACAAAAGTTTCCCCTCCTGCCCTGTTGTTTCAGCACGGGTAACTTCAGTTCCTTAAGATTGCCCACACATCTTGTGACATTTTTATGTGTTGTGAAGTTTGTTTTCTTTCTCTTTTCAGAAATGGCTCAGGGACCAATCAGCGGTGTATTTGTCACATCATCAGGTTCAACTTCAAATGGCACAAGACTTTCTGCCAGGTGATGGCAACTTATAGTTCTATACAAGAGCCGGCAACAGAGCCTGAGCCTTGCCTCAGGTTGGGGCAGTACGGTACCTAGGGGCCCAGAGCGCTACTCTGACGTGGTAGACGTGGTCGGTTGGTTAGCTCAGACTGTTCTTGGCCAGCACTTCCGTTTTGACCTCGACAGTTAGAGTGTCTACCAAGGTGTAGTATGAATGTTCCATGTGGCTGTGGGAAAAGCTTCCTTGAGAATCTCCCCCAAATTGCATAATACCCTAAATTCCTCAGCTATTTAGAATTTGACTGATTCTGCTGAGACTGCGTAAATTCTCAACACTTATCAGTAAGTGATTTCTTCATTCGCCTCGGTCCACCCCCAATTCAGAGGTTATTCAGTGAATGCAGGCCTTAGGGCCTTACACCGGTAGTTTTTCCTGCTGTGTGGAAAGTAGCTTTCCTTTTCTTTTGCGTTTCTTTCCCGTAATAATTAGAATATGTGTGGTTGTTTTTGTTTTGAAGATGTAGCACACAGTAAGTTCCATCTGAGTAGCATAGATGGTTAAGAGCTCGGATATAAGCCAAGCTTGGCGTTTGAACCCGCTCACAGGTGGAGTGCTAGTGTGACTCTGTGGGATAAACACTGGACTGCTGGCCACAAGATTGACTCACTTGATCCCTGGGAATCCTATACAAGGTCACTGTGAGTTGGAACCGACTCAGCGGCACTTAACAACAACAACACAGGTACCTTGGAAGACAGAACTGGCAGTCTGCTTTCGAAAGTCACAAGCCATACAAACAGCTCTGTTCTGCACACTTAGGGTCGCCACGACTTGGAACTGACTCAATGGCAGCTAATGACAACAAGCACACCGTTAAGTAGGGGCAGAAATCACCTTCAAGTCTTACTTTTCAGTAGCTCACTCTTCAGTAGGGTAGGCACAAATGACAGGGTGGGCTATTTTGCTTTAGTTTTTTCTATTTTTTCTAACATAGTTGAGATCTCAGTGTACTAACTTTGTGCCCACTTTATTTCCCTCTACATTTTCTACATTGAATATCTTTTTCTGTTGTCAAAGAGGTTTTATTATTTAAATAAAAGCTTGCTTAATCCTTGACCCTAGTAGTTCCACTCTTGGCATTGTACCCTAAGTGACAGTCACACAAGCATGATGGTGTCATACTTAGGTATTTATCTTAGGGTTTTTAAGGTAAGTATGAGGGGGTTTCAGAAAGCGCATGGAAAAATTCCATTATCCACTGATTCTCTGTATCTGTGAGCTTTGTGAAGCCCCCTTATATAAATTTTTATTTCTTAAATATTAACAGCAGTTACTCTTACTAATTTGTATATTATATTGTAGAATGCATTATTTTACTTGATGTTCATTTAAGTATTAACAGAGTGTCCAGTTTAATTTCTTAAACGGTGAGGTAAATTAGGAGCAATCTACCAGACCAACAGAATAGAAGTTGTAATAAATTCTGATGTAAATACACCTAACCTGGAAATACTGCAGCCATGAAACATGATGCCTTGACTTCTGTTTGACACAGTGTCCTGAGCATACGAATGAGTGAATCAAACAGGTGTATATGATTCAAGTAAACAAAGTAGAGGTGGGACAGTAAGAGAGGTGGCAGGCAGTTCTGGCTTTGGGAATTCAGACTCTTCAAGCTGCCGTTTCTTCCCCTGAAAAACGAGACTCGTACTTCATTGATTTGTTACAAGGATTAGTGAGGTGAACGGAAAGGACAGCTTTGGTTTTTAATTATAAAGCTCTAGTTATTTATTTGTAAGTCTGTAAAGTGTTTACCATTGGTTATTCTAAGAGGTTGGGTTTTTTTTTTTTTTTTTAAGACTTTGATATTTATGTAGTTCATTTTATTAATTAAAAATTTCAGACTTGTTGGTTATTATGAGGAGCACAATGAAGCCATTACCATGTCAGAGAAAACCCAATTTTCATAGCATGATACTACATGTTAGGAAGGCATGACAGTTCACTTAAGAGTTCTCCACTGTTTTGGACAATTTAGGTGGTTTCCAGATGTAAGCAAGTTTGCAGATGTAAGAATAGCATTTGGCTAAATGATTCTTACCCTTTTAGATTGGCTGTTTGCTAGGCTAGATTTCTCAGCTGCTTTGTCAAAAACCGTAACATTGAATAGTTTTTACTGTGTAACACCAATAAATGCTGAGATACGTGTTTTAAAAGATGCCAGTGGCTCGATGGTAAGACTTTAATACTAGAATGCACTCCCGTCAAGCTCTGGCCCAGGATAAGCTTTTGTGGTCCTGTGAACCCAGTAGAACTCTTGGTATATATTGCCTACTAGTTCAAGGAGCTCTGGTTGTCTTTTCTTATTTTGTTTGTTTAATCATACTATTTCAGTTTGATTGGAAGTTTTCAAAGCAAGTTAGTTTCTCATTCAACAATTTGTATACATTTTGTTTTTCCGAACTTGAGTTGCAACCCGCTCAATGTAACGAACAATGTTCTCTTAACTACCTTCCGCTCTGGGTTCCCTGTTTCCATTCACCCTAATTTTCTGCCCTCAGAACTTTGTTTTGGTTGTTGATAGTGGTTGATTTGTAACTGTGAGCTCTGTCGGCCTATTGTTTGGCTGAAAGGGGACCTCGGGTAGGGGTTTCAGTTCAAAGTTTGGAGGGTGTCTAAGGGCCATAGTCTTAAAGAGTGTACTCTCCTGGTCTTCTTTATTATTTTGAATTCTGTTCCCCATTTTTTCTCACTTTGTCCAGGACCTTCTGATATGATCCCAGTCAGAGTGGTCAGTAGTGGTAAGTGGGCACCACCTAGATCTTCTGGACTCGGGCTAGTGGAGGCTGTCGTTCATGTGGTCATCAGTTCTTTGGACTCATTTGTTTCCTTGAATCTGGTTGTCTTCACTCATCTTTTCTCCAGATAGGAAGAGGTCAATAAGTAACGGTTACAGGACCTCTCACAAGCTTTTAAGACCCTATTGCTACTCAACACAGTAGGATGTAGAACATATTCTTTATGGTTTATGTTATGCCAGTTGACTTAGATATACCCCCAGATGATGGTTTTCAACCCTTAAGTCTCTTAAGGTAATTGTTTATCGCTAAGAAGTTTACATAACTTGGCCCTCTGTTATTCTACTATATACCTGGGTATATTTGCAATGTACAATAAATACATACGTAGAAATATCCCCTGCTAGACCTATATATAAGGAGCTCTGGAAGCGTGGTGGTTACAAATTGGGCTGCTAACCTCAGGGTCAGCAGTTCGAAACTACCAGCTGTTCTGTGGGAGAAAGATGAGGCGTTCTGCTCCCGTAAAGATTTACAGCCTCGGAAACCCTGTGCAGAGTCGCTATGGGTCGGAACCGACTCCATGACACATAACCACCACCACAACAAATCTATATATGCTTGTAAGTGTATTGCCATACACCATCTAACACCTTTAGCTTAAGTATCTTCCGTGGATCTGTTTGTAAATTGGTGTTGACGCTTACCGTTACGGCAGGGTTATGTTTATAAGAAGTTACTGTTGCGGTTTATTCTTGGCATACCACCCAGGGTCTGCCATTACCTTGCTTATGTTGTGTGCAAAACACATTCGTTTCCAAATTGTATTACGGCCATATTCTCAATACGGTGTTGACTTTTTCACGTTCTAGTAAATTTAAAAGAATTTGGTTGTTTAAAAAACCACTCTGATTCTGTGGGAACTAGTTAACCAGTCTAATTCTGTGGGAACTAGTTAAAGGCGCACAAGTCGGAGTTGCAGAAAGGATGTGGTCATATTGGCGCATCTCTTAGGGAACGTCTTCATGTTGTTAGCTGTCAGTAATTTACTGGAGCTTCTCTTAGGGAACGTGTTGGTGTTCTCAGCTGTCAGTAATGTATTGGACCTTCTCTTAGGGGCCATCTTAGTGTTCCCAGCTGTCGATAATCTATTCAAATGAACTACGTCTAACTTTAAAGTCTTAGTTGCTATTTCTTGAGTACCTGGTGTTTCTAAAAGTACCTTTTCTGGCTCTTTAACACAAATACAAAGGAAATTCGAGAGATCTTTTGATGATAACTGAAGCAAATTATGATTCATGGTGGAAATGTCTGTCCTGTTTCCCCATTCCTTCACTAGTATCAGTGACCACGTGTTGATTTTATGAGATAATAATGAAGCCACCCAAGTATTTAAGGCATATTGGTAGTCCCTGCTATTGTGATGTTGTTGTAATGGCTGAATCCGAGGAGTATTTTACTAGCATTTTTTTTTTGTTGTTGTTGTTTTTTAAATAAGTGCTAGGCCAGAATTTTTTAACCTTACTTGCGGCTGGATAACTTTTTGTTCTTGGAAACCATCCTACGCATCATAGGACATTTAGCAGCATCTACTGTCTCAGATATCAGCAGATCCCATCTCCCCCAGCTTGACAACCAAAAGTAGCTCCAGGCATTGCCAGGTGTCCCCTGGGGCAGAGATGCTTAGAGCATATTAGGAGCTTAGACGGACGACGCTACCCACAGACCATTGAATGGGAGGGCTTGGTCAGGGGACCTGCCTTTTTTCTGCATGCCCTCTCCAGCAGCACTCCTCTAAGGGTACCTCCTGCCACCACCCCCACGCCCACCATCGAAGGTCAGCAATACTGATTCTCAGCCAACATGGATTTTCAGTTCCCAATCTGCTAAAGCTTGCATCCTTGGAGCTGTTTCTGGAAGTGCACATTTCAGAATGCTTGCAGAAGAATCGTCTGAAGACTTGATAAAGCTGCAGGTTCCGGTGTCTGCACCTTGTACCCCAAAAAGAACTTCGAGGCTGGGGTCCTGGGGCCTGTCATTCAATCAGACACGGCAACAATTATGAAAAAGCTCTGTGGTCTTGGCAGCAGCTTGTCAGGACCCTTTCTTTCAGGGCCGCTGTTTCCTAACCTGTCTCACCACCTCCTTCCCAGAGATTAAAGAGCCTAGAAGAAGGTCTGGCAGGATCTTCTCCCGAGCTTTGGTTTCTCATGTAGTGATGTAATTAATTGCACAGGGTCACACTAGCCAACATTGCTGTCATTTTAGTTGTTAGGCATTCGAGACAATGATTAGAAAAAAGGGAAAAGAATGAAAATTGCTGATAATTGGAACTCTCTTATCTATGTTAAAAACTTTCCCTATCTGTTTATGTGACTGAAGCGTAAAAAGAATGAGCTCTGGGTACTTCCCTGGCCTGGCATTAGGGTAAGACCTCGTGTGAAGGTAGGAAGGAGGCCTCGACTCTTCACTGACCTCTTCGTCTTCTTGCAGTGATTTGACCAACGGAGCGGACGGGATGCTGGCCACAAGCTCCAACGGTTCTCAATACAGTGGCTCCAGGGTGGAGACCCCAGTGTCTTACGTCGGGGAAGACGAGGATGACGATGACGACTTTAATGAAAATGACGATGAAGACTGATTTTGTTGCTTGTAGATTTTCCTTCTCCCCATCAAATTCCGCTTCAGGAAAAAGAGAGAGAGAGAAAAAAAAAAAATTGTTTAGGGAAGAGAAACTTTTTTTTTTTTTTTTTTTCAAATGAGGTTGTTTTTTTGTTTTGTTTTGTTCTTTGGTTTCTTTTTGGCCTTCCCCCAAGAAGATTATTGGTAAGCTTTTGAATATAGATATGCACCTCCAATAAGCAAGCAAGGATTGTTTTTTGTAGGACCTTTAAAATGTGGAGTGGGTGTGTGTTTTGATACCAGTGTGCTGATGCAGAAGTTTTGTTTACTTTCTAGGACTTTGTGTTTTTATTTTCTAAAGGTTTTTTTGGTTTTGGTTTTGTTTTTTAATTCAGAGCTGTTGTTGTTGTTTTTTAACCCCTTAACAATTCTTGCTGAGTTTGCTGAAGAAAATTGTACTTTATCCACATGAATGAAAATAAAATGCTATCCTCTTGTGGAAAATGGTCCACGAAATTGCCATTTATTTGCAGTGTGTTCTCAATGATGCCACTGATTGATGGATAGCAAGATTACATGAAGAGTTTTCATTTTCTTAAATCATGCAGTGTCCAAAGAAGAACCAAGCAGATAGCAAAGCTTTACTTATTGTGACTTCATTTTCCCTTAAATTATATTGACTTGTGATTTCGTTGAGTTTATATCCCCTCCTTACCACCCCTACCTGTGTTGTAGCATGCAAATTGAAGAGTTTTTGTTTGTTTGTTTGGGTTTGGTAAAAGTATACTACCATGCTGGTGCAGCTATATAAACTATCTTGAAGGCTTGGAATGGATTATTGCTTATGGTCAAATTTGCCTGATTTCTTACAGGCAGAGTTTGGAAACTTTTTATTATATAGTTGTTTACATACTTATAAGTCTATCATTTAAAGACATGTACTGAAACAAATGTTGTATTTGTTTCGTAAGCATCTTCCTGTAATCTATTATTATAAAGTTGAAATTAAATATAGAGAATGTTTTAACAATTTTTTAACTGAAGATTTGTCAATCATTTTTAATAGTTCTTTTTTTATAAGAAGAAAAAGGAATTTCGGGACAGGCAGTAGTCTCTTTTAAAATTTATTCACAGAACCATTAACTGCAGAGTTGCTGTTTGCTGCCTGCCCTAATACGATAGTCTTTTTATTGAAACACAATAAACTTTTCTGTAATATTTTATGGAATATAAAGAGACTTTAATTGTTTGACTTGTCTAACTTGGCACTGTTAGTTTTTATTAATAAAACGCGCATGGGCATTTTAAACCAGCTCTGTGTTTTTCTAATTCAGGATTATTATCTAGAAATTATTTTGATCATGTCAGTCTTGCTTTATAATTGAGTGAAACAGCAGGTTGTGTGTTGGCAACGAATGCTCCTTGGCATATAGTTCCTTCCACTGCCCTCCAGGCTGGCAGGGCTCTGATCACTTGGTCTGGAGTCTCCTGAAAGTTGGTGGGGAGGCGGGAGAGCCAGGGCACCCCTCTCCAGCCTGTGGAAGACTGGGGAAAGGAGATCTTGGTGCGTACAGGGTGCAAGGAGGCTAAGGGGAAATTTATCCCCTGATTTTTTCCTGAGCTCGAAAAACAGAAGAAGCTTTTTTCCTTTTGACTTTGAGCAAAAGAATAAAAGGTATGGAAGGCGGATGAACCACTTCATCTGAGTTACGTAAGCCACGGATTGTTTAAAGGAAAGACCGAGTAGGCTTCATAAAAGAGTTGGCTGTACGGAAGTGGAAGCTAGTCCTTCCCACTGGACCCCAGTCTTGAGTGACGTTAAATATCGTGAAGGCTGGTGGTGGTCCTGGCGGTGGTGTGTGTCGATAACTCTGTTCTGACTTCCAGCCACCCTGTGGGGCTGCCCCATGGAGCTTTCTGGGCTGTGACCTATTCAGGAGCAGCCAGTGATTAACTGCTGTACTACCGTTCTCCTAACTTACTACCAATCTGTAGTTGTTGTGAAGTGCCATTGAGTTGATTCCAACCCATAGCAACCCTGCAGTTTCTGAGGATCAGCTGGTGGATTTGAACCGCTGACCTTGTGATTCACAGCCCAGTGCTGATCCCACAGTGCCACACCAGAAGTCCCCTGATTCTGTGATGTTGTTAAGTACTGTCGAGTCAGTTCCAACTCATAGCGACTCTGTATAAGGTTTCCGAGGAGCAGCTGGTGAATTTGAACCGCCGACCTTACAGTTTAAACAGACCTTGTGGTCCAGCGCATTAACCCACAACACCACACCAGGACTCCATAGCGCCATCTGTAGTAGAACATAAGAAAACAGTGACGGATGTGCCGTCAGCGTCCTCTGTGGCTGCATACCCACGTAGCAGCTCTGTTTTGAGTCCTTTATTCAGGAGTGAGTCTGCTGGGAGCCCCAGGTGTGTCTTACCTGTGCTGACGGAGCTAACCCTGCAGGGCCTGGGGAGGAAGCAGCCTCACGCATTCACTGGCAGGACTTACTCTTGTCCGTGTAGAGACTGGATGAGACAGTGGGACCTCCAGGGTGGAGGCAGCTTCCGCAAAACTCAGTTGTGGGTTTTATTAGGTAGCATGGAGTTGGGCACCAACTCACGGAAAGCCCATACAGAACAGGGGTCAGATCATTGGGATTTGTGAGTTTTTTGTTTGTTCTTTTTTAAATCTTTTATTGTGAACTGAGTGATGGTTTACATGGAAGAACATCAGTGTTACACTCATCCTACCGTATTTTGTTTCATTGCAGTGATGACAATCCCCTCCATGCATCATCATTCAACAGTATTTGCTTCTATCCCCTCTGTTTTTTTGTTTTATGTACACAAAAACACTCAGAAATATATAAATCATTTAAACCACCAAAAGGCACATTCTACAAGCCTGCCTCCTGGCTGCCAGCACCCAGTCTTTCTCTTCCCAGGAATCTAGAGTCCTTGGCTGCTCCCTCTCTCCTTGTCCCCATCTCTGCCTCCGTCTCTGGCATCACTGCTTCTCTGTGATAAGGTCCCACATTCTGCTTGTGCTCTTCTCCCTTGATGGTCCTAGGGTCCTCTGTTCCTGGACTGTAAGATTAACTGCTCCCCCATTTTTGTCATAAAGCTTCTACCTTTACATTTGTGATTGTCACAATTAGTCACTATTGAATCGTAAGAATCTTAACCCCATCTCCTTTCACCAGAACCGTCTAGACAAGGTGAAAACTATTCAGTGGGAATCCCCCCCCTCCCCATACACTCTGAAACGAAACTCCCTCTTGAAAACTCTTAAGCCGGTCACTTTGATTCATAAAGTTTTATTGGCTGGTTCTCCAAAGTAGATTGCTCTGCTTTTCTACATGGATCTGTCTTAGCCTGGAAGCGTCACTGAAACCTGTGCAGCCCTGTGGCAACATGCAAGTCTCCAGGTACAGACTAGATGCCGCAATTTCCGCTTTGGTGGAGCATGTTACGTTTGCACCATGCAGTGCCAAGTTTGAGCATCTTGTGGGAGGTCTTGGAGGTGTCCTGCCTGTCTGGGATCTGGTAGAGATGCTAATTCCTGAGTGTGGGCTGGAGGTTAGGACGATGAGAGAGAAAGTAGGATGCGTATGGAAGAGACAGTGAGCATGCATTGGCAGAGAGGCTCATAGGTACAGGAAAGGCCTGGGAGAAAAGGGTCTTTGTGGTCCCCCAGAGGGCTTCAGATCCCCCCTTTCTAAGATTCCCAGGCTAGGATTTGGTTGGCCATCTTCTTCATGGTTTCTTTGGTGACTGGTGACCAAAGCCGATTTTGATGGATTGGTGAGTGAGTAGGAAGAGACAATGTTGAAAGTTTGACAATACATGGGCCACTTTGCAGAAAGCTCTGCTTTGAAAGTAAATAGAATATGGAAACTCAGGTCTGTAGATAATCAGGGTGCTAGGAGGCATTTCTCGGCTTTGGGGAAGAAGACCGTCAAAGGGCGGGGCCAATCCCTGACGGTAGGTGTGGCTCTTCCAAGAGGTGGAGTGGATAAAGAAGAGGAAGGAGTTCGTTGTAACTTCTGTCATGCTGGATGGGAGAATCTCACAGGAGTGAGAAGTAGACAGGAAAATGGATTTCAGATTAGTTAGCATGAGTACCAGCTAACAACTGGAAAAATACTTGAGATCTGCCCATATTAATTATCCTAATCAATATTTCCTAATCAATAATTGGATGGGCTCTGTTGGCAACGACTGGCTTCTGATAATCATATACAAGGGGCTTCAGAAAGTTTGTGAAAAAAAATTCCATTATCCTTTAATTCTGTTTTTTTCCCATGAACTGTTTGAAGCCCCTCATGTTTTCCTGGGTTTTTATGTTTCACACAAGTCTGTGTGTGTTAAATGAAATTGTAGGATGGAAGCAGTTATTCAGAAACCTGTTTTATACTAAGGTAATAGAAATAACACTTCAGGCACTGTTCCAATAAACAGCTTTCTACACACATAGCACGTTTTTGTTGTTAGGTGCCATTGAGTTGGTACCAACTCATAGTGACCTTATGCACAGCAGAACGAAACACTGCACGATCCTGGGCCAACCTCACTACTGTTGCCACGCTTGAGTCCATCAATGCTGCCACTTGGCCAATCCATCTCGTTGGGGGTCTTCCTCTTTTTCTCTGACCCTCCACCTTACCAAACATGATATACTTCTCCAGAGACTGGTTCCTCCTGACAATATATCTGAAGTATGAGAGACAAAGTCTGGCCATCTTGGCCTCCAAGAAGCACTCTGGTTTCACTGCTTCCAATACAGATCTGTTGGTTCTTTTGGCAACCCATGGCACTTTCAATATTCTCCTCCAACACCATAACTCAAAAGCATCAGTTCTTCTACAGTCTTCCTTATTCACTGTCCAGCTTTCGCATGCATATGAGGTTATAGAAAATACCATGGCTTGGGTCAGGTGCCCCTTAGTCCTCAAGCTGACATCTTTGCTCTTCAATACTTTAAAGAGGTCTTGTCCAGCAGATTTGCCTAATGCAATATGTCGTTTGATATCCTGACTTGCTGCTTCCATGAGTGTTGATGGTTGATCCAAGAAGAATGATCCAGGAAGGACTCAACTCGATGGCACACAACAATATTGACATGTTCTAGTGACCCTTGGAAAATCTGATCCTGTAACTTGTTAAGTAGGTTCCTATTCATAGCAACCCTATAGGGTTTCTGAGGAGAGGCTGGTGAGTTTGAACCACCGACCTTTGTGTTGAGCAGTCCAGTGCGTATCCTACGATGCCATATCCAGACTCCTCATCTTAGGGGTCACGTATATTTTGAAAGGTCAAACCATGAGAGCTTTTGGATCGTTGGATCAGAGTGTTGATTTGGTGATGTGTAATAGTCACCTGTAACAGTACACAGTGATTTGAGCGCCTTCTCTGTGCTTGACACACTCAGTGATTTTCTATATGCACACACCGACTAGGTAGCTTCAGAAAGCCCATGGAAAGCCAGAATTAAATGATAATGGTATTTTTCCACAAAATGAAGTTCCCTGTGTGTATGTATACATACATACATAATTTAATCTTGGTGGTGGTGGTGGTAAGTGCCTTTGAGTTGGTTCTGACCCATAACGACAGGAACAGAAAGCCCATCTTTTTTCCTGTGGAGTGACCGGCAGGCTCAAACAACAGACCTTGAGATTTGCAGTCCAGTGCTTATCATATGAAGCCACCACACTTTGCAGTTTAATCTTGTCATTGTTGTTAAGTGCTGTTGAGTTGGTACCAACCCATAGTGGCCTGCCCTGTATGGGTGTCCTAGGAGCGGAAATTTGCAGTCCAGCACATTCACCCGCAGCACCACACCAGGACTCAGAACCCTAAAAAGTTGGTACAAATAAGGAAGCCGAGGCTTGGAGAGCCGAGGTGGTAAACAGAAATCAAGACTTGAACCCAGATCTCTGGCTTGAAAAGCTGTCCTCTTGACCACTGCACTGCGCCACCTCGCTGAGATGTTTGGATTGAACCCTTCCTAAGGTCCATTCTAAACATGTCCTGCATTTTCAAGAATTAGTCTTAAGTTGAAGAATGTCTTTCCCAGGGCAGACTTCGTGGTGCGGCGTGTCCTCAGGTGTGTGGGATGGGGAGGTTATGAGCAAAGAGGGGAACAGTAGTGCTTGCTACAAACTTTGTTTTACTATGTGTACCGTTTTTCTTTAAAGAAAGATCAACCACCACCCACAATCACCATTTCTTGCTAAACTGCCTGGATTTTAGTCTTCCTGAGTTTCATCCGTGAAATGGGTTTAATAATAGCACCAGCCTCACGAGGGTTGTTGTTGTCATGTGCTGTGGAGTTGGTTCCGACTCACAGCGACCCTGTACAGGATTTCCGAGGTTGCAGATCTTTACGGAAGCAGAAAGCCTCATCTTTCTTCCGCGGGACAGCTGGTAGTTTCAAACTGCTGACCTTGTGGTTCACAGCCCGATCTGTAACCACTACGCTAGTGACAGGAAAAGTTAACATGCTTTTAATTTTATTTTAATTCTGCCAAATTGGTGGTATTCTTCATATTATACTGACTTTTTGTCCTGCAATTATTCTGTGCTGTACTGGCCGTGATTTGACAACTCCCACACCAACATCATTTTGGTGATTTTCCTGACTTACGTTGAAAATGTTAAAAAGACGCTTTCAAACAAAGTGTTTAATGTTTCGTTAGCTTTGGTTCTATGTCAGAAAACATACCGTTTTTTATTGTTTGGCATCGAAATAAATAACTCCAATATGTTTTGTTTTTGCAACTTTTGAAATGGCTGTCTTGAAAGCAAAGATTCAGAAAGTCCATTATCTTAAGCTGTGTTTTACATCAGTGCATTAGTAATTTTCATACTAATATGAGTAATGGTTCATACTGAAGTATGAACTTTACAGTAAATTTTAGTAAGAAAAAATGAGGTTTACATAGAAAGAGATGAGTCATCGTATTGTCTTGTTAAATCGGATAGTTGCTGCCGATGGTTCTGATGCTAGCTCAACATTTTAATTTTAGCTACAGATGCTATCTAGAGAAAAAGACTAAAGAGTTAATGAGAAATAGCCAATACTAACCGTAAGTACTCTACACCTAAAGTCCTCTCTAGAGTTGCCAAATTGACGGTAGGATTAGCATTCGAAAATGTTTTCATGGTGATTTAGAGAAGAATCGGCTGGTACATTTAAGACCAACCAGGTAGGTGATGGTTTTTTGAATTTGGCTGTAGACTGTGACCTATCTTCTTGAGTCGTACTGAAATGATAGTGTACCTGCACTAGCTCGTCTATTTCTGAATTTTAAGTTTGAACTCCACTTTTCCTTCATATGGATCATGGGGATTGTCGAAGGTAACATGTTCTGCGAGGATTCTGCACACGATGGTTACTTCTGTATTCTTGGGGACGTTGAGGAATTTTGCTGCAACCAAAGGGTTTCTATACTGGGGCTGAAATAGAAGTACAAAAAGCTTAGATGTTTAAAATGTCTTTTGTCATTCAAGGGGGAAAATCATATAAATAAAGGTGGCTGTGTGTGGTCAAGTCAACTCAAGTTAGCCCACAGGACAGAGTAGAACTGCCCCAGAGTTTCTAGACTATACGTTTTACAGGAGCAGATCACCAATTCTTTTCTCCCATAGAGCAGCAGTGGGTTCCAACTGCTGACCCTTCACTTAGCGGCCCAGCACTTAACCATCGAGGGTATTTTTATAAACAAGGGAACTATCAGTATCTAGTTAAATTGGTGGAGTCCTAATGTGACACTGTGGATTAATGGGCTGGACTGCAAGGTCTGTTAGAGTTGCAAGTTTGGTGGTTCAAGCCCACCAGCCGTTCGTTTAGAACCAACTTGACGGCATTTAACAACAAGTTTGGTAGTGATACCAGAAAACTGAACCAAGAGTGCTTCTTATTTAGGCATGGCCTATCTCTGGATAGGACAAGCATGGCAATAGTATTGAGGTTGGCCCAGGATCAGGCAGTGTTTCGTTCTGCTGTGCATAAGGTCACTATGAGTTGGTACTGACTTGAAGGCACCTAACAACAACAACTCTGGATTTACATTATTGGCACGCTGTCCGATCCCTTTGGTGGGCCATAAGCACGTCATTTGCATAGCTCCACCTAACCATTTGGTGGGAGTTAAAAGACTATGACTCCTCTTGGTGGGCCCTAAGCACCTCATTTGCATAGCCCCACCCAGTTATTTGGTGGGACTTACAAAGACTAGGATCAGAAGGACCAATAGTAAGTAATTCACTGCACCACCCGGGGTCACTGTGAGTCAGAAGCAATGCCACAGCAGAGGGTTGGGTTTGGTTTTTGCTTATTTGCTACCAAAGAATGTCTAGGATTTGACAATGGGAATCTGTTACTCTGGACACAATTCCTCCAACATGATGTTACCTGCTTAATTTTTAAACATATAAAGTCATGAATTAGGAACTTGGTGGCTCTAGAGAGTAAGCACTGGGCTGTGAATCACAACGTTGACAGTTTGAGTGCACCAGCCACTTTGCAGGAGAAGGAGAAGGCTTTCTGCTCCCACAAAGATGCACAGTCTCAGAAACCCTATACAGGGTCATGATGAATTGGCATCAACTCCACAGCACTTAACAACAATCTCTAAGGAAGACACAGAATGATCAGGACACACTTAGTATCAGCTTTCATGTGTTCTCCAGAACTGACTAGGATAAAAACTGTGTCCCCACTTCGAGGATTGGTCTGGAAGGGACAGAAAATAGCAGTGGTCAGTTAAACGTCACAATGTTTGATTAAAACGAATAGAAAAATAAATAGGAAAAACCACGAGATAATGGGAGAAATGCTTTAAGATGACAAGGCTTTTGTCTAGGTTTTGGGAGGCTCTCAAAACAAAAAAATTGTATTTGCTATTTGTTTTGTGAGAGGAATGCTTTTTTAGGTAGTTAGGAGAGCATGGGATAGGGGAACATGAAGCGGTGAGCATGTTTCATTTTTATAAATAAAAACATTTCTTGCTTTCTTCTGGTTAAACCTTGCTCAACGTGCAGTGATTCGAGGTTTAGAAAAGTAAAGCATACCTGAGCTTTCTTCCCATAGTACGGGAAGTAGTGTAGACTGAAGGTGGCGTTGAGTGGGTAATATGCAACTTCCAGGGGTGGGGTGTCCTTGGGGTCCTCCTGAGGGCGGAGAGACCAATTCAGAATTGAGACAGCAGGTATGACATGAACCCATGGCACTTACAGTTGGCTCCAAGGTCTTACGAGGAAGGTATCTAACTGGGGAGTACATACAAAGCAGCTGGTAACTTAGCAAAGCGTATACCTTTACCATTTTAAAGTCATAGTTAGAAGCTGAGGAGGTGGCAAAGAGTTGGTATTAAAAAGAAATAGATAATGGAATTCCCCCACAGTTCTTCATAAATACACAATTTCATTTGCTATTTTCAGGGGAAATCTGAGGCATTAAACTGTAAGCTGATAAAATACTGATAGCTAGAAGTATACAAGTGTAAATATCCCATTGGTATATGTTTTAGTGGGTAAAGTCTTAATGCCTAGCTTCCACTTCAGGGTCTCCACCTTGTAGGAGGTTCCTCTGAACTGAGGAGGTCAGATGCTTGGCAGACATTACAAAGGGGGTGCAAGATGCCAGGACTTGGTGTACCAGGTAGTTGGTGAAGAAGAGGGTGGGGGGCAGCAGTCTTGGCAAGTGTCAGATACTGGACCTAGTATTGGGCAGGGTGCCTGCCTCCACCCAGAAGTCCCCTCGAGGTTTGGGGTGTGTGAGCAGCTGTCTGTGGGTACAGCTGGGGCCCCACCTGGTGAGTGGAGCCGTGTGTCCCTGACACGTATAAGAGCAGCAGGGAACGAAGGCACATAGGCGTGTGATATTAAACACCGAGAGTGTAACCAGGATGCCAGGCAGCACAAGAGCCAGTCTGTGGCTGAGCTCCAGGCTGCCCCCTACGCTGGGAGAAGTGGCACAAGCAGGGTGCCCAGGGCATCAGTGCCGCTGAGGGCAGCCCCGTGACAGGAAGGCAGCAGACACCACCTTGGCCCTCCTTGGCCCAGCCCCTGGAGACTTCCGATGGGGCCCTGGTGGCCCCTAGGGTACATGGCCCTCTAAATGACCTCCAGTGGGTAGGTGGTGTCTGGGGGTCCCTTTTCACCAGCCCCTCACACACGACCTCTAGAGAAAGTCGTAGCCAGGCAGCTTCTCCTCATGGCCAGGCCCGGGGTGGAGTTGAAGCCGCGCTCCTGAAGGATCTGGGCTGGCAGATGTGCTTCGGGGTTGTTGGAAGAGCCGAGGTTTGAACTTGCCACCGTGGTGGACTCGGCCTGCATGAGCACCTGTCTCCTCTAACCTTGCGATTTGCTGCTATTATTAGGTGATGTCAGTCCGTTTGGACTCGTGGTGGTGGTGTGCGGTGGAGTCGATCTCGATTCCTAGGGACGCTGCATAGGGTTTTCAAAGCTGGAAATATTTACAGGAACAGAAAGCTTTGATTGTCTTCTGCAGAACATTTGGTAGTTTCGAACTGCTGATTGTGTGATTAGCAGCCCGACTGCAACCACTACACTCCCAGAGCTCCTTTCTGACTCATAGCAACCCCTATAGGGTTTCCAAGGAGCGGCTGGTAGGTTTGAACCAGCAACCTTGTGGATAGCAGTTTAGTGCTGATCTCACAGCGTCATAGTTGTGTTAGTGAGGTGATGTTGTAAAATCCCCCTTCGTCCGCGAGGTCCCTGTGCTGCAGACAGAGTAGGAGCTGGAAATGACGGGGTCCCCATTCACAGACCCGAAATAGACGGGGTCCCCCACAGACCTGAAATAACGGGGCCCCTGTTCAGGGCCCGAAATAGACAGAGTCCCTGTTCACAAACCCGAAATAGACGGGCTCCCAGCTCAGGACGGGAAGTAGATGGGGTCTTTTTGCATCAAGGAGGCTCCGCTTTCACCCTTGTGAGAGCCCCGGTCCGGGCCCCCCCGGCACACATGGTACAGGAAGAATTTCAGCTCCCCCCCAGCGCCCACACTAGCTTCTTAGAAGTCCCCTGTACATAATAAAACTGGGCATTTGCTTGTTTATCTCTCCATGAATATGTAAGCCATCACAGCTGATGCATACTGATATGCCACAAGGGTTTTACAGGTTTGAGAGACACTCTGGGAGTAATAAACATGATTTCCTGACAGCTGTTTCCTTTCATCATCAGAATCAGCACATTGTCCAGTGTTTAAGCTTAAAAATTAGGTGAAGACTGCATTCTTGTCTGTTAAAATCTTGAGTCAGTTTACACATGTGGTTAACATGACTAAAAGAAACACAAGACCAGTGGTAATCATGAGCAAATGAGGAACACTAAAGAGATGCAGTGTATCTAGGTAATACCCAAGCACTCCATTGTTGTTCATAGCAGATGAACTTTTGGTTTCTGATAAAAAGGTCAAAGGAAACTTTGGGAAATTTTTTTATGAAACCAAATTTAATATATATGTATTTTAAGCTTTAAAACTAGTTTTGGAAAACAACTGGAATAAAGCTGATATGACTACCAACTCTCAGTAGCCTATATACCCTATTTACTAAGGTACCAAAGGAGCTCTGGTAGCATAGTGGTTATGAATCGGGCTGTGAACCTTAAGGTCGGCAGTTCAAAACTACCAGCTGCTCCATGGGAGAAAGATGAGGCTTTCTGCTCCCGTAAAGATTTACAGCCTCAGAAACCCTGTACAGGGTCACTATGGGTTGGAACCGACTCGATGGCACATAACGACGTTTACTAAGGCTATTGGTAAGCTGGACATGTTTTTGCAAAAGAACAAAACCGTGTAATAGAAGTACCTTGCTTGCCCAAAATCACCACCAAGGATTCTAAACTATGTTAGTAATCAACTATTACCATGCACTCTTTGAAGCAAAACAGCAATAAAAGACATTTTCTTCTTGGGTTTTTGCTGCCTGAAACAAAACCCGAAATAATGGCACACACAATTTATACAACTGACTTATTGTTGTTGTGAAGTGCCGTTGAGTCGATTCCAACCCATAGCGACCCTGTATAGGGTTTCCAAGGAGCAGCTGGTAAGCTTGAACCACCGACCTTGCAGTTCAAATGGCTTCGCAGTCTGACGCATTAACCCACAGTGCCACACCAGAATTACTAGGCTAAAAATTCAGGATCTTATCAGAGAAAACATGTAAAGTTATTCCCATAAGTTTTATAGTCTAACTCTAAACAAAGCCCCCTCCTAACCACTTCTGTTTTGAAACAGCTTGAAAGACAGAGCTAAATCCCCAAGTTATTATAGAAACAAGGACTGGGCAAGAAAAGATGAATACTCACTAGGAATGTGCAGTCCACTTTGGGAGGAACGGTACTGTTGCTGGGGAGAAACTTGACAATCTAGCAGAAGGGGAAAAGCATTTATATACATAGATGCACCCAACCTGGAACACCCTTACTCTTGTGCGAATGTCTGAAGGTAAAACAAAGTCCAGTTTGGCTTCCTACTGGAGCTTCAGGGTTGAGACATCCTGAGGACTTTCCAGTTGGGGAATGAGAAAATTATAACATTACCTTTAGTCTGGTTAGTGGTGCCTATTCTAATAAACCCCTAATGAATATTCCAAACCCCAGAACCTACTGACATGGAGTAGATTCTAACTCCTAGCAACACTCTTTGGCGTTTCCAAGACTAAATCTTTAAGGGAGTAAACATCTTTGTCCTGCAGAATGGCTGGAGAGTTTGAGACGCCAACCGTGCAGTTAGCAATCCAATGCTCATCTGTCAGCACCACCATGGGTCTTAGTAAATATAAGCCACTCATATGTTTAAGGCAAAACCAAGCCTTCCTGAGTCGTCTTGACCTAGGATATAAAGAAGGATCTTTGCCCTGGCTCACCCTGCTGCTAAGTGGCAGAGCTAAAACAGAACCCTAAGTTGACATGGTCCATACCATGTGATCTTCACCATTACTCTAGATTTCTTAGTGTGACTTCCAAGCTTGGCCCTATCATAATGTATGAATAGAGAGCCGAGTGCCTGGTTGTAATTGTTAATGTTGTCGAGTTGATGCCAACTCATAGCGACCCTTACAGGATTTCCGAGATTATAAATCCTCGCAGGAGTAGAAAGCCTCATCTTTCTTATTCAAAGCAGCTGGTGGGATAGAACTGCCAACCTTGAGATCCATAGTCCTGTGTTTATCCTATGGTGTAACATTAAGTGCTGTTGAGGGAGTTCTGACGCATAATGATGCAGGATAAGGTTTCCAAGGAGCGACTGGTGAGTTTGGACCACAGACCTTGCGGTTAGCAGTCCAGTGCTTATAACGCCATACCAGGACTCCTAAAGAGTAATTGTTGTTCATTGCTGTTGAGTTGATTCCAACTCATAGCAACCCTGTAGAGAGTTTCTGAGAAGCAGCTGGTGGGTTTGAACCACTGACCTTGTGGTCCAGCGCTTACCCTACAGCACCACAGCGGGACAGTTGTTGTTGTTAGTGCCGTCGAGTCAATTCCGACCCATAGCGACCCTGTGTAGAGTTTCCAAGGAGTGGCTGGTGAGTTTGAACCACCGACCTTGCTGTTGAAACTGACCTTGCAGTCTAGTGCTTATCCTACGGAGTCACAGCAGGCCAACACTTACCCACAAGCACCATTCTTCTCTTTTCCCTCCTTATGTAGTTTAGTTTCTAACTTCATTTTGAGTTCTTTACATAAACATTCTTCTATCACTCTGGTTAGTTTGCAGCCTTCCAAACACGCCTTGTGGTTGTCCAAACCCACTCCTTTACTCGCCCTCCCATCTGAAACCCCAGCCCTTTATTTCCACCTATTTTGTGCCAAAGGAAGCTCTGGTAGCATAGTGGTTATGAAACCTTAAGGTCAGCAGTTCGAAACTACCAGCTGTTCCATGGGAAAAAGATAAGGCTTTCTGCTCCTGTAAAGATTTACAGCCTCGGAAACCCTGTACAGGGTCGCTATGAGTCAAACCAACTCCACGGCACATAACAACAACAATTTTGTGCCAAGGGCTCCGCACAGGGCCTGCCTTCCCACAAATCTTCCCCCAACTTCTCCAGCCTTAGACTTTCCCTTCCAGGAAGAGCTGGAGCCCACCGTGTATTCTCCACAACTATTAAAACCAGCCGCTCCGCGGGAGAAAGATGAGGCATTCTGCTCCCGTAAAGATTTACAGCCTCGGAAACCCTGTACAGGGTCGCTATGGGTCGGATCCGACTCGACGGCACTTAACAACAACAATTAAAACAAGCTGGTGGCAAGTTGGCTCCTCTTCATGGTAACTCCACGTGTGTCACAGTAGACATGGGTTCCAAAGCATTTTTAGCGGCTGGTTTTTTGTAAGGATATCACCAGACTTTTCTTCCTAGGTGCCTCTGGGTAAAGAACCTCCAACCTTTTGGTTAGCAGCTGAGCACTTAACCACTTTTACTACCCAGTCACTCCCAGAGACATCTGTCAACTCAGGCCTGCTGGGGAGTCCAGGGTAACTAGTCTTATCAACTTATTAACAGCTCAAAGCAAGGACATTCGATGTGTATGCCAGTGGATTAAGTTTCAAAATGGAGAGTAAATAGTGCCCGCACCTCATGGCTAGGTTAGTGCTACCTCGGGCCCTTTGCATTATTTGCTTTTTATGGCCAGGGGAGAAATCAGGTCTACTTCAAACACCTCTGATACCCCAGCACTTCCAGTGCCTGACTCTGAAATGCTTAGTAAATGCCAAATGCATAATGACTACTATGACTATGTGTAAATGATTTGTGTTGTAAGCCCCACACTAGATGGTATCCAAATCCTCTTCAAGTCTGAAACCAGAATTATGCCTGACTGCTTCATACATATCTTTCTCCAAGGAGCTAGGAAGGCAGGTCCTAACCTTAAAGGACCGTATTCTGCCCGACAATATCCCAATGCTATATACTTGTGTCTGAATGGATGGCTTTGAATTTGTATTTTGGGGTAAGCTCACTAGCCACACTAGATGGGCACATGTGTTTCTCCCAGGGCCAAAGGGGTACAGGGCATGACAGTCGTTTTAGGTTCAAATCCCAGCTCTGCCACTTGCTAGAAATCCTGGGTAAGATACCATCTGTTCCTTGGTGTGACGGGCAGCAGTTAAACATCACAATCTCTGCTATTTCAGCGTCTGGTTTGAGAAGTTTTCCCATTTGGTCTCAGACTTAACTCTGGATACTCACCCTGTTCATTTTAATAATGAAGCAAGGCTTCCCTTCTTCAAAGCCAAAGTTAGGATCCGTCAGACCCGAGCAGTTCTGTAACATATCTGCTGTGAACTTGCAGGAGAACTTGGTGTGGTTAGGAGCCTCAAAACTTTCCTGGAAGTAGTATTTCTCTGAAGAGCAGTTTTTGTTGGCTTCCTGGACTGCCGGAGAATAGTCTGCCCAGATCACAAAGGCACAAAATGAGTACGTGTCGTGACCTAGCGTGTCCCCTGCTGGTATCCTTACCTGCTCTCATAAACAGGGTTTTCATCCCAACCAACCTTTAGTTAACTACTGACATAGCTTCAAGCTTCTGAATTCAATTTAATTTAGAAATTAACAACAAGACCATACGACGTCTTGTTTTGTTTTTTAATCTTACCCTCCAGGAATTTGTGAAGAGTATACGTTAGGTCGGTCCAGGTTTTATTATCAGAAACATTGTAGAAAATTTCCAGACTTTTCTCCCCATAGACATCTGGCCTTAAGGTTACTCCTGGAAAAGAGAACATCATGCTTCTGTTTAGTGTCTTCATACAGTTAGCTATGAAGATGATGAGTAGAATACAGAACCGCCCCACCTTCACAGGTACAGTTTGGGATAATTTGAGTCAACAATGTGTAATGAGTGTCTACAGAAGCCGGGACACACCTCTTCTAAAGCTCTTCAGGATTTCAGGGAGGAAATCTTCAAACCGGACATCCTCTCTCAGTTTATTTAGATTCAAGTTAAACTTGACAGCAAGGCCAGGAGAAAAGGCCATATCGCGGAGAGAAATTAAAAACCACCACCAATCAACTCTGGCAGCGTAGTGGTTACGAATCGGGCTGCTAACCTCAAGGTCGGCAGTTCAAAACTACCAGCTGTTCTGCGGGAGAAAGATGACACTTTCTACTCCCGTAAAGATTTGCAGCCTCGGAAACAGTGTACAGGGTCACTATGAGTCAGAACCGACTCCACGGTACGTAACAACAACAACCAACCAACTAGTTACAGATGGGCCGACTCAAGACTCACGCAGACCCTGTGTGTGTCACAACTGTGCTCCAACAGGTTCTCAGAGTTTTCACAAGTAGATCACCTGGCCTTTATTCCGCAGCACCTTTGCGTGGACTCAAACCTCTAGGCTGTGGGTCAGCAGCCAAGAATGTTAACACTGTGTCACTGAAGGATTAGAATCTCCTGAGTGCTCACTGAAGCTAAGTGGAACACATGCTCGCTAGACACCGAACAAGAAACCGTATGTTCAGTATGTTATTCACAGTAGCATGTGTCCCTGGTAGACTCTGGACTGTCGCACTTCTCTTTTGAACTTGCATAGCTCCCTCACTACCCCGGGTGGGGTGGCCAGTTCTGGAAATGTGCCTCACGATGAGCAACTTTGATCTGTAAGACAAGACGGTCTCTCCTTCTCTACCTGAGGAAGCAGCTACCTCAGCTGCGCTTACGCGTTTTTGTCGCTCCCGGTAGCAGTGACAAGTAATCCAGAATTTGAAACAGTTTCTAAGTGAAATTGTGTTTTAACGCACATTTGAAAAGTCTTCTCTGGTTTTGCTTAGGTGTGTAGCATGTTCGTGGTAAGTGACAAAAACAATACTAAAGCTGAGCAGGAAGTTAACAGCCAAGAGCTCCTTTCTCCAGTCTCAATAGTTTAGTGTGCGCCCTTTTCTGCACACAGATCCAGAAATGAGCATGTGTGTGTCATAGGTATGTGTTTGTTGTTACATAAATAAGATATTATCCAGATTATTAGGAGTTCTGGTAGCACAGTGGTTACGAGTTGGGTTGCTAACCTCAGGGTCAGCAGTTCGAAACTACCAGCTTTTCCATGGTAGAAAGATGAGGCTTTCTGCTCCTGTAAAGATTTACAGCCTCGGAAACCCTCTATAGCGTCGCTGTGAATCAGAACCGACTCCACGGCACACCACCACCACCACCACCCATATTATGGTGTACTGGTGTGGCGCTGTAGGATAAGCATTAGACCGCAAATTTGGTTTACACCGCAAGGTTGGCAGTTCAAACTCACCAGCTGCTCCTCAGAAACCCTATACGGTGTCGTTAGGAGTTGAACCCAACTCAGTGGCACTTAACAAAAACAACAAATCCATATTATAGTATGATCTTGTTTATCCTGGTGTCGCACTGTAGGATCAGCCCTTGAGTTCAAACCACAAGGTCGGCAGTTCAAACCACACCAGCTGCTCCTCGCAAACCCTATACAGGGTCGCTATGAGTGGAGAAGACTCCTCTGTACTTAACAATAACAACAATCTACATTATGTGTTAATGTGTTAATTCCCACTCCCCCAATACCAGTTGTAAACTTCTTTGGAAGCTTTTATCAGCTTGCCACATTTTCCCCCAGAGGTTACTTAATATTCCAGTGTGTGAGTTGTCGCTCTTTGCTATCGAGTTGGTTCTGACTCATGGTGACAGTGTGTTTCCAAACCTGCAGTGGTCCGCAGGATCGCCAACCTCCGCTACACCTGTGGGCTCCCAGCCTCGGGCTTCTCTGGGCTCCTTTGGAAGCATGGCTTTGCCAGGTGATATTTTGGATGGTGTTTTTCTTTTTCTTGCCTTTGGTATTTGTGGTCAATCTGACCTTCTAAACCATTTCTGGTCTGTTGTGGTTTTGTTAAGTAACTACTTCCTATCTGAGTGTATGCTCAGTCCGCCATTTTGAACCTTTGGCTGAAGCCTTTGTCATTGTCCAGAGCAGAGTATGGCACATAAAGAAAAAGGAATGTTCTGAATTTTAATAGATTATTATAAAGGTCATACAATTCCACAGAAGAGATTCATCCAATAGGGAAACACAGTAAATGGAAAGCAAACACTCTTTCCCTGCCCCAGTTCCTTCATTCCTGGGTCTACCCTGTATTCATCATTTCTTGTCTGTCCTCCCAGGAATTTTCTATGTGCATATATAAGCATATCAAGTAAGTGAATATAAATCCTGTGCTCCCCCCTTCCCCCTCTCTATCACAAAAAACCTTCTGTTTTAATAATTAGAACTAAAGCCAAAGTCAGACTTTATAATTTGGGGTTGTCTGAACTGAGAGACCGTCTAGCATTTGGCATGTTTTCCAAAAGCCAGTTAGGTAGCCTGCCTCCGGGGTCCTTGCAGACAGGAGGACAGAGGCCCCTTTTAGTGCTGTCTCCACTGTCAGCCCTGTGGACCCAGGCAAGTGCTTGCTTCTCTGGGCTTTATTCCGGGGAAGAGAGGATTTAATGTCAGTTGAGTATGCATGCAGGATGGAATAGTCACTGGCTGCGGGTTTGCTATAGGTATCACTCGCTGTCTGAGTATCTTTGGATATTCTTATTATTTTGTTGTTTTTTAGTGCCGTTGACTCACAGCGACCCTGTAGAGGAGCGGCTGGTGGATTTGAACCGCCAACCTTGCAGTTCAAACTGACCTTGCAGTCCAGTGCTCATCCTACAGCAGCACACCAGGTCTACCTGGGCTAAGCAGTTCAAGTCTGATGTTTACCTGGTGATTTTAATTGGTCCTGATAGTCCGGTGTGTATGGGTCGAGCGTCCACATTAACGTGTAAATGGACAGCGCGAAGAGCCCTGTCATCACCACGTAGAAACCCACGTAGTACAGGCTGATCAACACTGGGAAGAGAAAACAGTATTAGAAGCAGCAGGAAAAAAGAGAACTTTTTTTAAATTGTGGTAAAATATTGTAGTTGCTAAGTGCCGTCGAGTCGATTCCGACCCATAGCGACCCTGTATAGGGTTTCCAAGGAGCAGCTGGTGAGCTTGAACCACCTACCTTGCAGCTTAAATGACTTTGCAGTCTGGCGCATTAACCCGCAGCGCCACAGTAAAATTTGCCATTTGAAAGTATACAGTTCAGTGGTATTCAGTACATTCTCAGTGTCACATAACCACCACCACTGTCTTGTTCCAAAACACTTCATTCACCCCAAAAGCTAACCCTGTACTCGTGAAGCAGCCATTATTCCCCTTCATCCCCACCTTCTCCGCCTCAAGCCCCTGGCAACAACTTTGTCCATTTCCTGTATCTAGGGACTTGCCTATCCTGGCTAGTCCACAAAGATGGACTCAGACCACATGTGACCTTTTGTGTTGGGCTGTTTCACTTCAGCCGACATCTTACATAAGTGTAATCTCAGATACAAAGTCCTAGTGTGGCACTGTAGGATAAGCACTGGACTGCTAATAACTTGTGATTAGTTCAGACCACCAGCTGTTCCTTGAAAACCCTATACAGGGTGGCTGTGAGTCAGAACCAATTCAATGGCACTGAACAACATCAGTCTCAGAGACACTTGATTCTACTAGTAAGTGTATCATTGTAATATTTATTAGTTAGCATTCACTGACTACCCACAAGGCACTTACTACCCACAAGGCACTTGGCAGACACTGTTCCAATTTAACTCTGAGGTGTTGACCCCATTTTGTTTAGAAAAGGAAGGTCAGAGAGGTTAGGTAGGTTTCCCAATGAGGGTCACAGCTAGTGGCAGAGCTGAGGTTTAATATAGATCTGTGAGCTCATAGCACTTCACTGGTAACTTGTCTTTGGGGAGCTTCCTAGGTTTTGTCTTTGTACCGCCTCCCTAAAAGAAATAACCCCATGTACCTGGAGTCCTGGTGTGGTGCTGTGGGTTAATGTGCCAGACTGCAAAGTCGTGTGAACTGCAAGGTTGGCAGTTCAAACTCACCAGCTGCTCCTTGGAAACCCTACACAGGCGCTTTACAACAACACCAGGGAAACCACTGCTGTAGCCATCTAGTGACTCTAGGGAACTGAGTAGAACTACCCCTTGGGGTTTCCAAGACTGTAAATCTCCATCGGAGCAGACAGACCCATCTTCTGCCCATGGAGCAACTGCTGGATTTGAACCACTTATCTTGTGGTCCACTGCACCACCAGAGACATATCTCAAGGTTCTTTATCATAGACACCAGCCAGGTGTTATTGCCCATGACCCGTGGGCCAACTCCATCGTGTGTTTTCTAGGAGAGAAAATGAATTGCAGTGATGCGCCAATTTAAAAAGTAGAGGGGACCACGAGTTTCTGTCTTAATCACGTTGTCAACCTGGCTTCTAGTATTGATGTCAAAGAGAGGAGGAGAGATATGGGAACACTTAAAAATTGATACTCGTTCCCCAAACCATCTTCCCTAGGAATCCCGACGATTCAGGTAAAAGGGCTCATTTTTGCTTGATTGTAAAAAACACCTGTGTGTTTCTCCCTGCTGAGTCAAAACCAAATGGAATTAACTGGGAAATGAAAGAGGTGTTTTTAATGCATGAATCCTGGACATTGACTTTGCTGGGTAGTTTTTAGCTTTCCATCTTTAAATGAACTTGCATTTATCAAGGCAGTTTGGTTTTAGGAGTAAAATATCAGGAAGAGAGGTATTTATACTTGTTATGGTTAATTCTTTCCGGAAAAGTGGACCCATTCTTTTCTTTCCTCGTGATGTGGGTGTAGATTCTTGTTGGTGACTCATTCTCCAATGACCCTAGACGTAATTAAAGGACAGGGGCCAAATCAGTCAGCGACAACGATGGCAGTGGGGAGGCCGGGTGGCTCGAAGCAACGAGTAATGACCTGAAATACTACATTTAATGGGTGTTGTGTTGGTTTCCAGATTAGCTTGGTAACATCAGCCTGTCTCTCCGGGTCTCGCCAAACACCGACCCGTCCCCAAAGTTCTCATGATAACTTATCACGGTCACTCCTCAGTTAAGTCCCTGACTTCAGCTCATGTTGTGGAAGAAGAGCCAAGTGACAGCACTTCCTGTCCTTGCCCTTTCTCTACTAATCCGGGAATCTGTGATGCAGATGTTTGGGCTGGGTTGCTATGCCCAAGCATGTGTGTATTTGTCAGATAGATTATGATGTTCATTTATTAACTTGGTTTTAGACTCCTTTTAGTTTTGTGCTTCCAAATATGGAGCAATGAGGGAGCAGCAAGAGAAAAGAGGGACACATTCCCACCACAGGGCAGTGGCCCCTGTTTCCTGCATGACCCTCACTTCTGCCCGCTTCGGGTCGGGTCACCATCTGACACGCCTCTTAATTCCAGCTTTCTCCCAATTAGAATGTAAGCTCTATGAAGGCAGGAATTTTTGTGTGCTTTGCTTACTGCTTTATCCTTCATATTTAAAACAGTGCTTGGCACGTGTTGTTAAGCGCCATCAAGTTAGTTCCGACTCATAGCAACCCCGTCTGTAGGGTTTCTGAGGAGAGGCTGGTGGGTTTGAACTGCTGACCTTGTGGTTCGCCTACAGCACCACACCAGGAGTCAAGTTGTTGTTGTTGTCAAGTGCCGCCAAGTTGGAGTGGCTGTTGAGTTTGAGGCAACGACCTTCTGGTTCAAACCGACTTTGTGGTCCAATGCTTTTATCCCAGAGCACCACACCAGGCCTCCACAGCATAAGTCATACTATGTGATTCACAATGGTTGCAGGGAGGCATGAACGTGACAAGTCCTGGTGTGGCGCTGTGGGTTAATGCACCAGATTGCAAAGTTGTTTGAACCAAAAGGCCAATAGTTCAAGCTCACCAGTCGCTCCTTAGAAACCCTACACGGACGGGGTCGCTATGGGTCGGAACACTTTACAATAACAACAAATAAAGAGGCAGACAAGATGCACAGCAACTTTTGCCAGACACTTCACACAGACCATCCCATTCATTCCTCACAACTCTAGGAGAAAGCCCATCACCTCATTTTACTGGGAAACAGAGGTTTAGAAGACTTGCGTTAAAACTTGCCCAACGCAGAGCTGTGGTTTCAGCCCAGACAGCGTATTCTCCATGTATTGCTGTTCTCAGCACTTTCCAACTGACTGTCTTTCCTGCTCTCTTCCACACAGTGGGCTGAGCATGTTTTAGTTAGCATAAAAATGGTGAAAAGAAGTAAACATGAGAATTACTAGTACGTGTGGTAGCGGAACAGTATAGCAGCTGGGAGAGTAGTTGTTTTGAAGCCAGTTGGTCTGGGTTCCTGTCCTGGGTTGGCAAGTTACTTCACATCTCTGCACTTCAGCTTCCCCATCTGAAAAATGGGGCTGAATATCCTACCTAACTTATGGGGTGATTGTTGTAGTGGTGGTGGTTGTATCGCTGGTGGCTGTGTGCCGTGGAGTTGGTTCCGACTCATAGAGACCCTGTACAGGGTTTCCAAGGCTGTAAATCTTTATGGGAGCAGAAAGCCTCATCTTTCTCCTGTGGAACAGCTGGTAGTTTTGAACTGCTGACCTTGCGGTTCGCAGCCCAATTCATAACCACTACGCTACCAGAGCTCCTTGGTGGTTGTGTAGCAATAGTTATAATAGCTGACACGTATATGTGCTTGCTGGTGCTGCTAAGTGCCATGGAGTCAGTGCCAACTCATAACGACCCTGGATAAGGTTTCCAAAGAGCTGCTGGTGAGTTTGAACCACTGACCTTGTGGTTCAAAGTGACCTTGGGATCGAGTGCTAATTCTACAATGCCACACCAGGACTCCAGGGTGATTATGAAGAGTAAATGAGCTTTTATAGATAAAGTCTTTAAAACAAAGTTTGGCATATACCAAGCACACACAGGTGTGGCACTGTAGGATAAGTACTCAAGCAGACTCACCAGCTGCTCCTCAGAAACCCTACACAGGGTTGCTATAAGTCAGAACCGATTCGATGGCACTTTCAACACCAACAACAAAAAGTTAAGTGTATGGGGGAGAAAGATGAGGCTTCCTGCTCCCACAAAGATTGAAACCCTCCGAAACTCTGTAGAGGGTGGATCGGAGTCGGAACAGACTTCCATCCCTAACAACAATGACAAGCACATGTATATATGAGCGATTGTAATGATTGCCATAGTGCCCTCTGTAACCAGAAACACAACAAAAACCCAAGGTATATAGAAGGTTAAATCAACTTCAGATGGGGAAGGAACTTGCCCCAAAGAATAATGACTTTAACAATAACTAACATTACAGACTTCAGAGTATCCCGCTTACTGTTTCAACTGGTTTATACGTTGTTGTTAAGTGCTGTCTAGTCAGTTCCAACCCATAGTGACCCTGTATTGGTGAGCTTGAATTGCCGTACTTGCGGTTCCAACCAACCTTGTGGTCCAGCGCATTAGCCCACAGCGCCACACTATGTGTGCATTAATAAAGGCTCCTCCTCTACGCAGCCTTTTTAAAGGAGACTAAAGCACCTCTGTGCTTTTATCATTCTATTTGACGTCTACTTTCCTTGGCTTCTGAGATCACCCCCCCAAACACTGAGGCCCCAGTGTACGACAGTTCTAGCATGTTCTGCAAGGCCCTGCAGCCCGGGGAGACTGAGGTTTCTCAGAAGCAAGCGAGTTGCTCAGAAGACTGGGCTTCCTGAGAGAAAGGTACGGGGTGGAGAGCCACTCCTGACCCTGACTTTCCCTTCAGATGCCCATACCCATGACTGTGACCTGCCCACATGGGAACCTAGTGTGTCTCCTGGGTTTCCGTCCAGCTCTGCTGCCCAGAGTCTTTGCACAGGTCATCTGAGCCCAACAGTGATGTCCCTTCCCCTCTCCATGTGCCTGCGGAAATGCTTTCTCTCCTTTAAGCCCTAGGCGGAAGTAATGATGTTTATGCCACAAATGGACCTGGTTGTTTTACCATCTGCCCTGCCTCCCTTGTAAGTAATCTCTTGTCTTTAGCAATTTTGGTTTTTTATTTCTTTTACGGTATTTACTATATTTTAGGACTCCTGGTGTGATGCTGTAGGATCAGCACTGAACTGCGAACCAAAAGGTCAGCTGCTCCTCGGAAACCCTATACAGGGTTGCTATGAGTCGGGAACTGACTAGATGCCACTTAACAACAACCTTATATTTTAAGTTGCTCTAGTGTCATATGAAGGAACTCTGGTAGTGTAGTGGTTACGAATCAGGCTGCAAACCTCAGGGTCAGCAGTTCTAAACTACCAGCTGTTCTGCGGGAGAAAGACTAGGCTTTCTGCTCCCGTAAAGATTTACAGCCTCAGAAACCCTGTACAGGGTCGCTATGAGTCGGAACTATGTTATGTTATGGCACATAACAACAACAACAGTGTAATATGGAGTCCTGGTGTGGTTCTGTGGGCTAACACGCTGTACTGCAGTCAGTTTGAACAGCAAGGTCAATGGTTCAAACTCACCAGCTCTCCTCAGAAACTCTATACAAGGTCACTATGGGTCAGGACCGACTTGATGCCACTTAACAACAACAACAAGTGTAACATAAACGCTATCATGACACCTCCTTTCGCATTAGTATTTTGAACTTTGCGTGCACAGAGACACACATGCACAAAAGACCGGCTGCTATGGAGTGGACACCAACTCTTACTGACCACCTGTGGGTCTGAGTTGAGCTGAGCTCCACAGGGTTTTTATTGGTTGATTTTTTTTTTCCTCCAGAAGTAGATAACCATGCCTTTCTTGGAGGTGCCTCCGGGTGGACTCGAACCGTTGACCTTTTGGTGAACAGCCAGTGCTTACCGGTTTGCACCGCTCTAGGGCCCCGTGCATACACTAAATACTCAACAAACTGCTGTGAGGTTGGGATCAGTTAGTTTGCCCCAGGAGGTATTCTTCACATTGTAGCAAGCTCTAGGAAATCAGTACAGTTTTGTCTACAATCTGGTTTTGGTGAAAGAATGAAGCATTTTTCTTCATTTCTCCTTCACCACTTTGAAACTAGGCCGTCAGGAATTGTACCCCAGAGCAGTGCTTCTCAAACTAACCTAAGCCCAAGAATCGCCTGAGCAGCTTGTGAAATGTGGATTTTGCCTTGGGGCCTGAGGCAGGCCTGAGTGCTCTGCATTTAGACCATTTTCCCAAGTGAGATGCAGATAGTTGCTCTGGGGCTGTGCACTGATGAGCAAGGAAGGAGAGAGATGGGACCAAAGGATAGCACTGAGTTTTCTAGGTGGTGAAAGAACAAAACAGTTGCCATCAAGAACAGAACAGAATGAATGATCCCACAGGGCTTTCTTAAACTGTAATCTTCATGGGAGTAGATCACTAGGAGTTTGCTTCTGCATTGACCCTGAGTGGGATTGACCGGCCAACCTCTAGGTCACTAGTTAAGCACATCATTTGCAACACCTGGGGACTTGTCCAGCAGGTGAGGAGTTAGGATCATGTTTAACTCATCTTTCTTTCTTAGAAGAGAATAGTCCTTCACAGCTTACAGGAGCAGAAACTGCATTCTTCCTGTTTTCAGACATAGGCAGACAGTCTCCAAGGATTTTGTCATAGGAGCACCATTCCTAATGCCAATATTGCATCCCATTGTTAGGATTTGAGATGGCTTTTCAAGAGGAATCCCTGCCCCCTCCATTAAATATGGCTGAAGAGTCTTGGTGTGGTGCTGTGGGCTAATGCATCAGACTGAAGAGTCATTTGAACTGCAAGTTCAGTTCAAACTCACGAGCTGCTTCTTGGAAACCCTATACAGGGTTGCTATGGGTCAGAATCGAGTTGTTACGGCACGTAACAACAACAAATTTGGTTGAGGTGGACATTTAGAAATAGATTTTGTTCTTTATAGATTTGCCTTAGTAAGGACATATTAACCCTCACAGTAACTTGTAAAGAAATCTTCAATCAGACAAGTCTTTACTTTTGCTTTTAAACAAGTAAAGAAGGAGCCTCGGTGACCTCACCTCTGTGCCAGGATGAAGGAGGCTGGTGGTGCTGTGGGTTAGGTTAGACTGCTAACGGCATGGTCAGCGGTTCAAGACTTGTAGGAGAAAGATGAGGCTGTCTGCTCCCGTCAAGATTTACAATCAACGACAACAATAAACCTCGTATGAGTCCTGGGGTGGCACTGTAGGATAAGCACTGGACCTCAAGGTCAGTTTGAACCACAAGGTCAGTGGTTCAAATTCACCAGTCGCTCCTCAGAAACCCTACATAGGGTTGCTACAAGTCGGAACCAACTCAACAGCTGGCACTTAACAACAACAACAAACCTTATATAGGAGCCCTGGTGTGGCACCATAGGATAAGCACTGTATTGCTAATTGAAAGGTCAGTGGTTCAAACCCACCAGCTACTGCTTGGAAACCCTCCACAGGATCGCTCTAGGTCAGAACTGACTCGATGGCACTCAGCAACAACAAACCCTATATGGAGTCGCTTTGAGCCGGGATTGGCTCAGTGGAGACCAGCTTAGTGACAGTAGGTTGGCTTTGGTTTAGTGCCAGGATGAGGAAGCGAGGCTAACTCTCTCAGCTGGCAGCGGGCATCTAGGTTCTAGGCAGCAGAGCCTTAGTTTCAGGAAGGGTTTAAGAGAGACACCTGTGTCAAGGAGCTCTCTGAGGCAAATGGTAAGCACTGGACTGTGAATCAAAAGGTTGGCATTTGAACCCACCCAGAGGCTCTGCAAGAAGAAACATTTGGTGGTCTGATCTCTAAAGGCTACAGTCTAGAAATCTCTATAGGGAAGCTCCACTCTGTCACACGGGCCACTAGGAATCAGAAAGGATCCCAGAACTCTTAACAGCAACCCTTGGAGAAAGGGATCCCGTGCTTAATACATTTGGGACGTTCACATACAACGTCTTCCAGTACACATTAGCACACTGAGAGTTTAGAATAGTCTGCAAATAAAGCAATTATTTTAACTTAACTAAATCCTTGAGTCCCACACCTATTTGATCAAAGAACTACTACTTTGCAGATTCTGTTTAAATCATTATAAATGCTGATCTCAAATATAAGCCTACCAAAGTTGGGACACAGGCTAATTCTCAGAATTGGCACACACTGAATCAGAGAAGATCAGGGCTGAAACGGACCTTTGAGTTCATCTGATGAAAATCCCTGAGTTTTCCCTCCTTGAGGAACATAAAGCCCAGAAGGGACACTGCATACACCCGTGCTCCAAACTTCTCCTAATGAATAGTTTTCTCTCCTGCTTTCCTTTTCGTTCCAGAACCTTCTGTGGACCAGTCTCAGACAGTCCCTGTCCCTCTTCCCCTTCATACCCTCAGCCCCCAGGCTTGGAGCTCACTGAGTTGACAGTACCAGCCTCACCAACACCCTCCGTCCTCAGCACGTACCCCACCTAAATGGAGTCCGTCCCAGCATCTGCCCTGTGTCGGGGTTCCAGCAGTAACGCTGGAATTCTTCCATCCTCTGACTGCAGGTCTTTTTTTCTTGTAAAGCCGCCATTATCCCGCCTGAAGAATGGGAGCGTCTACTTGTAGCTCAGATTGAGAAAAGAAAATCCCTTTCTATGGGTTTTTATAGTCTCCTTTTTTTAGAGGTCAAAGGAATTGTGGGTAATTAGATTCCAAGGAAAGTACCCTAGAGGTGTTATCCAGCCTTCAGATATCACCCTTTCCAAACATGAGGGCTTGTGTGCGGACTTGGCGGACACAGCAAGGTTCTCATCTTATCAAGTGCCCTCCACTTACTCTCCCAGGACAAACCTGGGCCACTCCTCTGCTTTTTGGGGTGTCCTTGACTGATAACTTTATAGTCTGACAGTGACAAGGAGAAGCACTTTCTTGACTAAAACATACAGTTACTAAGTTTTACCCCATTCATTTATTTCCTGAAGGAAGAAAATATAAAAAGCACATCAGACTTAGAACAAACCTGAATGTGAGTCCTTGAACGGACCTTCGCTAGGTTTGTGAACTTGAGCTAGCTAGTGACCTGTGACTGACTTCCTCCACCTTCCTCCAAGATCACCTCACAGGGGAGACGCACGAGAACACCCACACTTGCAGATAAGATAGTACCCATTCGACTTAGCTTTGATGGCTTGATGATCAGAACTTGACAGAGGAAGATAAAGAAATTTGATAAAGGAAACAAGTGTAAATTGCTACAATTTGATGAACTTGACCTGTACTTATGGATGTAGTAGCTCAAAATAACAACCGAGAGGGAAGGAGTCTTCACATCAAGGATCAAACCTATCCCATCTGTATATAGGGTTGATAGGGATGGGCAACTTAGACATTGGCTACCTAAAATGGGGAAGCGGGGGCCTATAAAGGCACAAAGTGGCTGATTTACAAGTTTTCAAGAGGGAGTTTAGTTTCAGAGTGTGCGGGGAAGGTAGAATCCCCACTGAGTAGTTTTCATCTTGTCTAGAGGGATCTGGTTAAAAATAGTTGGGGATAGGATTCTTATGATTCAGTAGTAATTGTTATCATGACTAATTGCGATTGTCACACTGTAAAGGTAGAAATTTTGTAACATAAAAGGGGGAGTAGTTAATTTTACAGTCCAGAAATAGAGGACCCTAGGACCATCAAGGGCAAAGAGCATGAGGAGAATGTGGGAACCTAACCAGAGAAGCAGCAACACCAGAGATGGAGGCAGAGATGAGGGCATGGAGAGAGGGAGCAGCTGAGGACTCTAGACTCAAGGAAAGAGAAAGGCTGTGGGCTGGCGGCCAGGATGTAGGCTGGCCAAATGAGTCCTTTGGTTGTTTAAATGATTTATATATTCCTGAGGGGTTGTTGTGTACATCAAAAAAAACAAAAACAACACCACCCCCCCCAAAAAAAAAAAAAAAAAAAAAGACCTACCTCACAGAGTTGTGAAATAACGCATGTACTGGTTGTCCATAGGCGAACCTTCTGGCCATTGTTGCTCTTAGTGTTTGTAATGCATTGGGAAGGACAATCCTGACAACAGGTAATGCTGAATCACAACAGAAGTAAAGTCAAGTTATGAAAGCAAATGCAGTTGCAGTAGATACTTCAACATTATATGAGCAAGAGCCAGGAGACACCATTCCAAGATAGGAAGGCTCACAGTTCCCAGAAGGCTTTTCTTCACCTCCCAGCTCTTGGAATGCTCGGTTTCATTTTGGGGTGGAAGGACTTGAAGCCTCTTTAGACCTTTTTGTTTCCGTGGAGGAATCCCCAACCCTAAAATCTAGAGGCACTCCTCACATCAATCACCTGGGCACCTGGCTACAATGCAGGTACTGGTTCTGAGGGTCTGAATAGGGCCTGAGACTATTTACACCAAGCTCGCCAGCAGAGACCATGCTTGATGGAGGATCACACTGAGTAGTAAAGGTCTGGCTGATGGTCCCCAACCTCAGGCACACTGGAGACACTTGGGAAGTTGTAAAATCTATAGCTGCTTAGCCCCACTTCCAGAGATTCTGATGTAATTGATCTGCACTGGAGTCCTGCAGTGGCGCTGTGGGTTAATGCGCTGGACGACGAAGTCAGGTTGAACCACAAGGTTGGTGGTAGTTCAAGCTCACCAGCTGCTCCTCGGAAACCATATACAGGGTCACTATGGGTCAGAACCGACTCCACAGCACTTCACAACACCCACAGTAGCCTGGGCACAGTAACATGTGTGAGGATGATTCAGGACTGGGCGGTGTTTCATTGGCTATGAGTCAGGATGGACAACAACAACAACAACATCACCTGGGCACCGGTACCGTAAAGCACAGATGATTTTAATGTCAGCAGCTTACAGGTCATTGACACATAGACTTTGTTGTTGTGTACTCCTGAGTCGGTTCTAACTCATAGTGACCTTGTTTAGAGTTTCTGAGGCTGTAAATCTCTAGGACAGCAGCTGGTGGATTCAAACCACTGACCCTACGGTTAACAGCCCAACACATAACCATCAGGGCTTTAGTGGTTTTGAGTGTGTGTGTTTTAAGGGTTTTACATAGGTGTTATGGAGTCCTGGTGCGGTGCTGTAGGATAAACCACTTGACTGCAATGTCGGTTTGAACTGCAAGGTCGGTGGTTCGAATCCACCAGTTATTCCATGGGACCCTATACAAAGTCGCTGGGTTGAAACCGACGGGCTGGCATTTAACAGCCACCACCACATAGGTGTCATGGAGACATCTGCTGACCTATTAACTGGGTCACACATATCTGCATTTAGGTTGCAAGGGTCATGCCATTCAAAAAGAATATGTCTCAGTGGGCTTTGTACAAATGTATCACTGGATTGAACTGTTAGTTGTTGTTGTTAGGCGCTGTTGAGTCGGTTCCGACTCATACTAACCCTGTGCATGATGGAACGAAACACTTCCTGGACTTGGGCCAGCCTCATAATTGGTACATTTGAGCCCATTGCTGCTGCAACTGTGTCAGTGCATCTAGGTGGGGACTTGCTCTTGTTCACCAACCCCTTTCTGAATGGAAACTGATCAAAATAATGGCTGCTCTACATCTAGCTCTGGTAGCGTAGTGGTTATGAATCGGGTTGCGAACCTTAAGGTCAGCGGTTCGAAACTACCAGCTGCTCCGCGGGAGAAAGATGAGGCTTTCTACTCCCGTAAAGATTTACAGCCTCGTGAAACCCTGTACAGGGTCGCTATGGGTCGGAACCAACTCGATGGCACATAACAACAACAACAACTACATCTAGCTCTAGGAGACTTCACCTCTGAGAAATCTACAAAGCCAAATTTTGAAAGTTTCTTTGTAAAGGTGATAATGAAAAATCCCCTCGTCATTATTTTGTTTCTTTTCTTTAAGATAATTTAGATGTGGCGGTGTAGGGTCAGCACTGGACTATGAGCCAACTATAAGGTCGGCAGTTCAAACCACTGCTTCTCAGAAACCCTATACAGGCTCGCTAGGAGTCGGAATCCACTCAACAGCACTTAACAACAATATCGACAGATGCCTGTAAAACAAACCCCTTAAAAGGAGCCCTGGTGGCGCAGTAGCTAAGTGCTCCATTGCTAGCCTCAAGGTTGGCAGTTTGAACCCATCAGCTGCACTCTGTAGGAGAAACCTGTGGGCAGTCAGCTCCCGTAAAGACGTACAACCTCGGAAAAGCTATGAAACACTTCCTCTCTGTTCTAGGATCACTGTGGGTTGGGTTAACGCAGTGTTCAATGGCAGCAATTTTTTTTGTCTTGTTTTGTTTTTTAATGTTTTAACTTGGACTCTTAAAAGTTCTTACTGAAACACAGTTTTATTTTTTCTTAAAAATGTTCCTGATCTCAACTTTGGAGTTTCGTTGTTGTCACGTGCCATCGAGTCAGTTCTGACTCATAGTGACCCTGTATAGGATTAATGAGGCTTTGTTTTTTTTGTTTTTTTTTTGTAATCTTTGCAGGAACAGAAAGCCTTACCTTTCTCCTTCGGAGTGGCTCGTGGCCTGGCACCCCGCACTTTTTGGCTCCCGGTCACCATGGTCCCGTTTTATTGGAATTCGGGGACACTAAAAATGTAGATTGTGCTTAGGACAGCACAATTGTTCACAGCTCGTGGGTCAGAGGGCAGCTCCCTCTGACATCAAACCTTGTCGGCAGAATAAAGCCATCATCTCTGTTTTGTGAAACACAGAGATGCTCTTCAAATTCATCAGAACTCTTTCTGAAAGTCTTCGAATTTAGGCTTCCTAGGTTAGTTCCTGAATTCCATAAGCTTGCACTGTCCATGCTGAACCCTACACACGTTTTCAAAGTGACCTTCCTCCAGGCAGGCCCTGCGGGGTGGAAAGGCAGGGAGGTGACATTTACAGAGGACGGTTTTCCCCAGGCATGCTCTGAAAATGGAGGGCTGGCTGCTCTATAAAAACCGGTCCCAGATAATGTGTGTGGGGGGGGGGCGGGGAGGGGGGGGGCTGGGATTTCATATGCAGCTAGCAGTAGCCAGATGCTCCTTCCGCTCACCATCTGGGCTGTCTGTGAGAATGCCTGACCGAGTTCCACCACCCGGCAGGAACAAGACACCCCCGCTGCAGCATCCATGAAAACCACAGGAAACTTCTACTGACACCCAGCAGTTCTGAGGAGCTATTCCTTCCGTGGATGTCACTGGATTTACACCTCTACGTAATAAGGTGCCCCTTTTTCTGCTGCAGAAGAGTCAGAAAAAAAGGAGCTAAAACAGAAGGATTAAATAAGACCCAGTGCCTCATAAAGCATACAAAATGCTCAGGTTTCTATTGATAAACGCTCGTCACACCAAGATCTCAAAGTTGAGAAAAAGAAGAGCCATCCAGTACATGCCAACACTGAGGTGACAAAGATTTCAAAATGATAAAACCATCATGAAATGTTCAATGAGCCATTACAAACATGCTTGAAACAAAAAAGTAGAAAGTCTCAGCATACAGGTATAAAATGCAAAGAAGAACCAAATGGAAATTTTAGAACTGAAAAATACAGTAACAAAAATGTTCAAATGGTAACTGAACAGTGGAATGGAGGT